TGTGCACGTTAGGACTACAAGTAGATCTTTCTCAAAATTAGGTAAATATTTTATTTGTCAGGGTATTTCACTATCAATACTATTTAGTACACAACAACACTGTTTCAAAAAGGCTTCATATCATATCGCATTCTTTTTTAAGTATACTGGGTAATAGTGCGAGGTGGCATTGCCAGCATATGTCAGCTTTCGTCATAATATTATTTAAGAATAGAGAAAAACATTAAATAAATGCAAGGTATATTTTTGTAAAGATATTACAATGTTTTAGGAAGAAAAATCGATTCCTTCAAATGGAACTCCAACATAAATATTCTAGCCGCCATACAAGACGCCCAATTAATTGTTTGGTATTGTCCATCTGCCGCCTTCAATTCCAAGCTGCTGCACATGTGCTCCTTGCAATACGACTCGCCCGAACTGGGCAGAAATCCAAGAATAAACGACTTCGTAGGAAACTCCGTTTCGATTAGACGAGCTGATGGATCTTTGATCAGCGTGCCCATATCTCCCTTTCCTGAACTAATTCACAAGTAAAACCGCGTGCGGAATATCTTATCGCTTAATAAAAGCTTAATTTTGTAGGAAGATACAAGATAACAAGTGGTCGGAGGCTCTGGACTTGTGCAGAAGCGTCAATAACGACATGGTGTGGGCTTGTCTGGCGGTGTTGGCCACCCAGTCTAGCTCGGAGACGATGGATATAGCAGAAGAGGCGTTTGCCAATATTAATAATTATGAAAAAGTTATTTATATTCAATATATAAAGGTATTATTATTACGAATTAAAATACAGAAATCCGCTACTATAGGCTTGGTGCATTCTCCGCCGGTGCTGCCACTATCGGAGAATATCATAAAAAACTGATATATGCACAGACACGGGTTTAAGTAGCGAGTATACGAAAAATTTATTATATAATTATTATTCTAAAAGTGTTAAGAAGTATAATTTGTAAAAATTCTAAAAAAAATAAAAAAGTAAATAATATCTTCAGAAGGTTTAACTTGTATTATAATTTATTATTGAAGCTAATAAAACTTTTTAGATGAGTTCAACTACGGTAGCGAGCCTAGTTTTACGCACAGGTTTTTCTAGTGGGGACATAACATGGGCTATTTCGGTACAGGTACATAATTATAATTTTAGAAGAAATTCATAAAGAATCTAAGCACTAGTTGATTAAAAAAAAAGTATACCATTAATATTGCCAAATTATATTTTATCCTCTCATAGTATATCTCTATTATTTAATTATTGATTATGTAATGGGCACTTTGTTTACTCACTTGTATCGTCGAACTGCTTGACTCCATAAAAATAGATTTTTATTTAGCAAAAGTTTTAGATCAAATCGGTGTTAGAAGCTGTGAAGCTATAAAATGTTGATTCGGGAGAGTTGAATATCCGGGAGTTATATAAGTTGAGTTATTGAATGTTATAGCACCCAACAACCACGTAATTACGCCCTCCTTTACGAGTTAACGGTTTTTCGGCAATTTTTTAACATTCGAAATTGTCGGAACACAACACAACGCCCACTTCGAGTTCTTCTTCACTTAATTTTTACTACCCGAAACAGCGTTACATCACACAAACCTCGTACCTGAGTGTTTTATAGTTTCAATAACTGCACTAGCAAAAAACTAAAATACTTAAATATTATGACAAAGCCACGATTTCAATAATATTTTAATTGCGATCAACATGTACTGTAACCAGGACGACGTCAAATACACAGTGAAAACTTCTGATTTCTGCCGTATAGAGCGCTGCGGTCGGAATTTTTTGAAATCAACTGAAATGCACCAAGCCTATAGGTAAATAAAAATAATTTCCCAATCACCTTCTTTTAGACGTTACCAAGTAAAGCTGAACAGAAAGCCCACATGGCTTTACTAGGTGGCAAATTGGAAGAAGCTGAATCAATCCTACTTCACAATGGCATGGTATTTCAAGCAATTTACATTAATATAAACATGCATAATTGGACCAGGTAACAATATTCCAGCATAAAACCTCTTAATGTAAAAAGATCTTTACAGAGCATTAGATTTAGCCACTAAACATAAAACACACGTCGATACAGTATTGTATCTTAGAGAAAAGTATTTGGAGACATTAGGAAAATCGGAAAATAACAATAAATACAGCAGCCTCAAAGAATCAGTAATTAAATTTTAAAATATATTAAAATAATTTAATAATGTATAATTTTAGGTGACTATTGATCCCGAGAAAATTAAAGAAAAAATTACTGCAGAAGAGAACAGAATACGACATTGATAAATATTGTCTTTTTATTAAATGTTTTGTTCTTAAATGTTATATTAATAAAGAATATTTATACTTAATATACAAATGTAGGAATGCAAAATACTTTAAATCCTATGATTATTGTTACATTTCATCATTTTTGTGCTGCATCTAAATACTGTTGGTACTGGCCTTTCCTTAGAGGATCCAATTTAATCAGCTCTTTATAATACACAGCTCTCTTATCTACATATTCACTATCACTTAGAACCAAACTACCAGTAAGCCAACATTTGGCCAATAAGATCCCTAAAAAATGAAACAGCTATAAGAAATAACCATAAAAAGAATATTATAATTAGTAATAAAAGGAACTCATACATATTCTGATAAACTTACATTTACAATCAGGCTCTAATTCTTGCAATTGTTCTAACGCCTCAAGCAGTTCTTGCTTTTTATCTTTGGTAAGAGCTGGATTACTTAAAACCCATCTTAAATAAAACCAGGCACTGCTGTCTGCTGGATCTGTAAACACAGCACTTTGAACAAGTGATAATTCTCCCTCGACACTAGATTCATCCAATGTTCTCAGTTTACTTCTATAATGCCACGAAGAATAATTAGAAAAATTTACATTCAGTCTATCTTCTGAAAATTTCAACTCTGCAGACAAAGTTATACCTATTTTATTCACCAACAGTCTCCTATAATCCCAACAGTGAACTGAAAATATACAAAATATGAATATTTACATATAATATTCAGCACTAAATATATTACTTACAATTTCTGTCATCATAACTTAAGTATTTGTTGCATAGATTAAATTCTTTGTCCCAATTTGGTTTAGGATGTAACATTAAAACCCAGTATCGATGATCCATGATCCGTAAGATTTTGGATTGGCTAGAAGGCACTGTTCTGTTAGTGATATTTCTGATTCAAGGAACTTTATAAACTTCTCTTCCCCTTCTGTTTCATCCTCACAGCTGAGAACATGTATAAGATGAACTTATTTATCTATATTAGCACTGATACTACACCTTTTGTCTTTCTCAATTAATATTACTTCTTTTCTATAATTCCACAAAGTATAAATGTCAGGATTGACAAATAATAATTGAGATGCAATTGCAAACGACTCAGCATCATAAGAATCAGATTTTCGAGATGATAAGATCTTTTTCATGCCCATCCGATATGCTGTGAGCTTCTTTTGTTGCTCCTTTCTTTTTTCTTCCTTTTGTACTTCCGTTGATTTTACTTTCAATCTTCCGTGCTTAAAATAAATATTTCTTTATTGAATTAATTACAATTTTCAGTTTTTATTACCATTTTAGTATTATCTTTTAATCTTTAATAACTTAAAAGTTTATTTTTGATTGTCATCTTACGATAACTTAACCTCAGATTTGACTTGTACATTTAAACTACTTACACATACTCATCTCTGATTTGAACATTTGAACTACTTGCAATTTGAGATGTATATTCAAAGAGGTATCTGGTTCTAGCATATAAGAAAGGCAAAAAAAAACATCTTAATATAAAAAATATGAAAAGAAATCTTAATAATTTAATAGTTTATTAGATATTATTATATAAATTAAGAAAAAAACTTTAATTTTCCAAGAAAGATACAAAATCTGTTAGTTTATACAACTGATCCTCGCTACTAGGCTGAACTATTGGATCGGGTATTTTTCTAATTGGGTAAATCATTTTGGTTTCATGCTCCACACGCCAACCCCTTTCCGAACATGCTGCTGCACACACATCTGGTGGCAAGCCTGTCATTGCAGAAACTGTATCTAATGTTATTGAAGAATATGCCTGAGAAATCAAATCAACTGCTCTGGATCTCACAACATCTAAAAGTTGATATACATAACAATAAGAAAAACAAATATACAGCAATTGCATATACTCAATACCTTGAACATTTTTCATTATTTCTGATACTGTATCTGACCAACTCACTGCATTTAGAGATGTATATGTGGCTGTAAAGTCACTTTTCCATAAATGTTGTCCTACTGTCCATATACATCCTATTTCTGGATTACTGCTTTTAATACTCGAAGGAATTCTCTTCCACAAAAACTTGGCATTGCATCTAAAAGAATGGACATAACAATAAACCAAATATGTAACGTTTCTGGAATAATATATCTTACAAATCATTTTGGTAAAGATAAAACGCTAATAATCTAGAGTAAACCTGCGGACTAGCAATTCCGGTAGGAGCCTAGAATAATTAATTGTTAAATAAAATCGACATAATACAGAACTTCAAAATACCTCTAGTTCTTGCCGCTCCAAATCTTCTACTATTTTATCAATATTGCTTGCAAACATTCTGTTTATTTCTCTATTTTAATGGAAAAATCGAAATACCGGACATTTACTTTTTTTAAACTTTTCCAAATACTTTTCATAATAATAAACAAACTTGTCAATCAGAAACGTCAGGATGGTTTAAAAATAGTGCTCTGTGGGTGTTATATGATTATATGACTTTTAATTTATATATGATTTAAAGGAGGAATGGGGTTAAAAGACATTTATTTTAACAGGGAACAGGGATGTGTATAAAAAAGATTTAAAACAGTTTTTTACGTTGCTGTATTGTTACACAAAAACGTATAAAACATGCGTACAGAAGTGTATCCAACATAAGGACGCACATTTCCTAAATTGTTGTTTGCTTTTTGTTGAATTCAAAGTAAAAATCCGTCTATCTATAATGATTCCTTTAGTTTTCTCAAAATAATATAAATTTAATATAATGTTTAATAAAGAAGATATTAAAAAAATAGTTTTTATTTCTCGTTAAACAATCTAATAACTAAAAATAAAAAGGTTTTTTTGCTCTTAAATAGATTCATTTACATTGAGAAAAATTTGCAGCAATTCTAGGTAGTCTATTCTTCTTTGCCTTATGATGGTTATTTTGATGATTCTGAAATTAAATATGTTACAATAATAATAAAATTACAAAATTTAATTAACTTACCCCATTCTCTTTTTCGTTATTCTTGGCAGGTTTATCCGTGTTTTTAAGATGTTTTTGAGTTTTGGAAGATGCAGACACGCATACACTATTATCACCTTGAGTAGTTTCGCTAATACTTTTGTTACTCTGCCTTTTAATAACTTGCGTAGGAACGAAAGGATTGTGAAGGGCTGTTTTAAGAGCCTGATCGTTACGACGCCGTGATGATTTTGTTTCACTAGCGGTACTCTCTTGTTGTGGCTTAACCCAGGTTTTGGGCGGCACAGGAAGATTTTTATCTGGTCCGTGTGATGCATCAGTTCCCTTAGCCTGAAAGAAAAAAAAACATTTTTCTGGGGGTATTCAAAAATATCTTCCAATTAAATTCTACATATTTCTTCAGTGTATAAGTGAGTTTAATTACTGGCAAAATATATGACTTCAAGATATAGTAAAATTAAGTGGTAGAAGATACTAATAAGATAAATTCCTATATTAAGATGGCAGTGATATAGGCTTGGTGCATTTCAGTTGATTTCAAAAAATTCCGACCGCAGCGCTGTATACGGCAGAAATTAGAAATTCTCGCTGTGTATTTCAGGCCGTCCCGGTTACAGTTCATGTGGATCGCATTAAAATAGTATTGAAATCGTGGCTTTGTCATGATATTTAAGTATTTTAGTTTTTTTTTCTAGTGCAGTTATTGAAGCTATAAAACACTCAAGTACGAGATGTAACGCTGTTTCGCGTAGTAAAAAATAAGTGAAAAAGTATCCGAACTAGGCGTCGTGTTGTGTTGCGACAATATAGCCGAAAAAATGTTAACGCGTAAAGGAAAGCCTAATTAGAGCGTTGTTGGGTACAATAACATTCAATAACTCAACTTTCCCAGATATTCAACTCTCCCGAAACAACATTTTATACCTTCCTAGTGTCTCACACCGATTTGAGCAAAAGCAAAAATGGATTCAATCAGTTCAACAAAACGAGTTAGTAAACAAAATGCTCGTTACATAATCAAAAATTTAAATAGACATATACTATGAGAGAATAAAATATAATTTGGCAATATTAATGGCATACTTTTTTTAATCAACTAGTGATTAAATGTTTTATGATCATCTTTTAAAATTATAATTATATACCTTTAAAAAATTTCGACATAGTCGAAATAGCCCCAATTGTGACCCCATTAGCAAAAGCGGTGCGTAAAATTATGCTCGCTACCGTAGTTGAACTCATCTAAAAAGTTTTTTTAGCTGGAATAATAAATTATAATACCAGTTAGACCTTCTGAAGATATCAAAATATTTACTTTTTTATTTTTTATTTTTAGAATTTTGACAAATTATACTTCCTGACACTTTTAGAATAATTAAATAATAATTTTTTCGTATACTCGCTATTTGAACCCGTGTATTTGTATATATCAGTTATTTACGATATTCTGCGATAGTGGCAGCACCGGCGGAGAATGCACCAAGCGTATAGCGAAAGTTCTACATTTTAAGAAAGCCTCAAGAAATGTTAAGGCAGAAAATAATTAAAAAGAAAAGATAGATAAATATGGAATTTGTGAAAGCGCAAGTTCAGTTCAAACTCTTATTGCATATTAACTACCGTGACAATTTTTGAATCTCTATTGTCCCCTCTAAAGTGACTACTTTTTCAAACAAAATCCCACATGAGACGATTCTCTACAAGTACCTACATTTAAATAAAAACAACTTACCCTCTGAATCAGTATATGTAACACATCAGAAGCAACATTTTCAGTGGCTAATTCTTTATTCTGACCGGGCTTTCCCATCACAATCTCTCCATTAGACAAAGTGATTTGAGCTCTATACTGACCATCCGACTGGAAATACTGATACCTTGGAATTCCTAGGTTATTTGACTGATAATAAGTTAATAACCTGACACTAGAGGGAGCTTCGGCAACTTTCTACAACCACAAATCATTCAATCAAACACCCGAAATTGTTTAATAATGTTCATTAACTTACAGCAGCCAACATTTCAAAAGACAGATTCCCGCTATTATTACTATTATTATTAGATGATGTACTTTTAGGGGTTGAATCTTGAACTGGTTCAACTTGTTTAATTTTATTTTTAGGCGCATTCAGTTCCTTGTTTTCTGACATGCCTATTTTCAAAAGATTTTTCAGATATTCCGTATTTACAGTCCTTGGTGGCATACTTGGTAGAGACGGATTTTCAGTTTTTGTCTTTAAAAAAAACTGTTATATTAAAAAATCAAAATAAATCAAAGTTAAATACCAAAACTTTCTTTGAAGTTGTTGGTTTTTCTTCATCAGTCTTTTTTCCAACTTTTATTTGCCTTGGTTGAAAACTGGATTCAACCTGCGTAGATGAGTTGTAAGGCAAAATTTGCTGCTGTTGGTTTTTTTGGTATGGCGGTTCGTTGGCTTGATTATTAAAACTAGCAAACGCCGAACCTTGTAGATTATGCTCAGCTTGGCTGTAATTAGGTAAATATGATTTGTTTTGATTTAGACCCAGTTGATTATTTTGACTGAACTGATTGAAGAATCTCTGACTATTATTGTTGAGCAGAACAATAGATTGCTTTTGCCCAGATTCTGCTAATGCTACCAAAGATCCTAAAATACAAGTATTTGGTTTCAAATATTTTAAAAAACCTAAAATAGTCTCAAATTAAAGTATTTTCTGTCCAGCCAGAGAATATGTCATTCCGAAAAACGACATTCAAAATAATTTTGAATTAAAATAACAGATTCTTTCGCTGGACAGACTATATTTTTGAATGTATATAACCTTGTTTTCCTGTTTTCTCCTCCAGTAATCTTCTACCATAAGAAATGTTTATAAACGCAGTTTTGGGTAATCTATACCCTCTCTCCGCTGAACAGTTTAGAGTCATACCATCTTTAAACGTTTTGTCAAATACCACGTCGTACAAAACGTCCATATCGTTATTGGTTAATGACTCGGTTTTAGCTATGACCGTGCCTTTAAGGCCAAACGGTACACTAAAACCTTTCCTGGTATTTATTATTCTGTCAAGTATTTCTACCGTCATTTTATCGTCAGGTGCCAAAGTTTTACTTTGTATCTCAGGCTGAAATAAAAAATACAAGAAACAGCGCTTAGATGCGAAAAGTCATTAATTATTTTTCAACTATAGTTCGTCCAGCATGAGATTTTTTTATTGATTTTGGGCGACAAAACATCCAAAAAATAATACGCTGTTGAATTAAAATGACAACAACTGTCATTGTCATACATTCAATGGATGGACAGTCTATAGTTTGACCGTAACTAATAAATTTATAGAATTATATAGTTTCCACAGAATTATTAAAACTATAATTATATGGCCCTGGTCACTTTATTTCCGTGTACTTTCTGTATTTTTATGCATACGACAGAGCGAGATATACCGATTTGGTCATTTTAGAAGTGTGGTCTGGATTTTAACGTGTAAGATAGTGATGTATTAAAAAGAGATAAAAGTTGGGTTAAATTCAAACCACACAAGTAGGCGATTATGTAACACGTAACATCTAGGGTTGGAACCTTATTTTTCACAATTAGTTACCCATTTTACTATAAATGTAATAGATTATATTTATCTATCTTTATTTCAATAGTATATATAAAAAAAATTAAAATAGTTTTTTTTGTACACAAATTTTCCTACAAACGTAAATACCGGCAACACTGTATACCGCTTTTGATTTTGTCTCTCTCTCTGTCAACTGGTTATTTATATTATTCTCTGTCTTACACTTTAAAATCCAGACCACACTTCTAAAATGACCAAATCGGTATACGACTAGTTGATAGACAAAGACAAAATAAAAAGCGGCATACAATGTTGTCGGTTCGTACGTGAAATAACATAATAAACGAAGATAATATATCTAAGTTATTTACTAATGCTCAGCTATTAGACAGTTGCATGAAAACATGGAATAAATCTGCAATCGCCCCTTACAAATACCATAGAAATAAATATCCATTGGTTTGTTCAGATTAGTTCAGAATCGTATTTTATAGTGTAAAGCTTCGTTCTAAAACTACGCAATATCACGGGCTACACGCCATAGATCTAATAAAATTTGTACTAAATTCAGACAGCTGTCAATTTTGACTTTACTTACTAAACTAACGACTTTGTTTTCGTAGATTCCCCAGCAACACATCGTAGTTCTGAGACCGAGGCTTAATAAGAATCAATTTACAGTTGTTGTAAAATGAGTAACTAACTGTGGAAATTAAAGATCCAACCCTAGATGCAACATTTTTCGTAGGGTTGGATCTTTAATTTCCACAGTTCGTTACTCATTTTACAACAGCTGTAAATTGATTCTTATTAGATGCAACATTTTTAGTAAAAACTCTGGATCAGGGAAAAGCACAATGTCCATTGGAGAAACAGACAGGCGCACAGGCACAGTAAGGCTTTTATCCAAGGACCTAGCTCTAAAACCGCAAAAGAACTGCTAATACTTACAACAGGACACATGGCTGTCAAGTGTTACCTGAACAAGCTCAACCTGTATCAAGGAAGTCTTTGCTGCAGACTCTGCGATAAAGATCCCGAAACAGCGGAGCACATAATATGTCATTGCGAGGCTCTGGATCGCAAGCGACACTTTTATTTGGGAAAGCTAGGCTAGCACTGGAGGAACTATGCTCCCCTCCTATCAAGGACCTGCATAAGGTAGTGCAGGGCACAGGGATAGGAGAATGGGTGCAGATATAGAAGGGGGATAAACACAATAGACCTCACAGGTCGCAGTGTTTCCGGCAGAAGACGGCCCCTTGTTGTGAAAAAAAACACATTTTCCTAAACGCTTACTGGGGCGGTATAAAATTTTGATACAAAATCCGGAAATACCGCATAGAAGAAATGTATCAACCCAACTTTTTTCAATGTCTTAATCTTTAAAATCCAGACCACGCTCCTACAGTGACCAAGTCAAAAATTAACAACCTATATCAGTTATGAAATAAAAATAGTGTAAGGTACATACATAATAAATTCAATAAAATTTTACCTTATAAAGAAGCGAAGGTTTGACCTGCATTGTAATTTTCTTAGACTGAGCAATCTTTAAAAATTCATCTACAGTAGATTCTATTTTTTGCACAATATCCTGCTCTATATAGTTGCTACCACACGTTTGCTTTTCCGAATTAAATGTGGGCAAACTTTTTTAGCCAGGTCTGCAACTCGCTCATTTTTTCTCGCTAAAAACAAGAACTGTTGATGTCGTTCATTTCCATTGGTTTAATGATATTTAATACCAGATATCTTCGGAAAATATATCCTTTGCGGCGATTTCATGTTTATTTACGTTTTGACAAAAAAAGCAAAAAACCTCTGGAAACTTTTCGGTATATTGTCTTACTAAATCGAGACATTTGTCTGAGTAGTACCACGTAGCACCCACTCTTTTCGTGTAACCTGGAGTTTCCTTGTTTCTCTTGTTAAGTTTAAGATCGAGCCCGATATTGACATCTTTCGACGATCCTTTTACAGACACGAAAATTGATCCTGTGGTTCTTGAAAACAAAATGTGACTCATTCCTGAAATATACGTCATAAAATCAGTATTACATAAATTAAAAGACCTAAACCCTTAATTCTAAGCCCCTTCGACTGTCAAAATTATTCGTGAGCCATTGCGACAATGTCAAAATTGTCGTAATGTAGTTTTATGCAATGTGTAAAAATCTGGACAGACATTGTGTCAGGACTTTAAAAAATATGAGATTATTATGAAGAAATGCTTCAAAAATAGTTACTTGTACAGTGTGCAATAACTTCCAGACTAACAACATAAAAAAAGTAAGTACGCCACTAGTATAACAACCAAAAACCCTGTCCAAACCAAGATAACACATAAAAAGTTGTATAGAGTCCGTTTTTACTTTTTTGACAAGTTGTCAGACAATTGAGATACGAGGTAACGTAAAACTGCAATATTTTAGTTAGTTTTTGCCAAAAAAAAAAATAGAATCAAGACCCTGCGCTAAGAATAAATAAAAAAATAACCTAGTTGGCTAGAAACGACATGCAATGGCTTGTAGGCTCTGGCGCTTTCAGCGTATTTGCGTCTTATATGTTCGAAGTCTGGCTCTTCTGTAACAGATATGCAAACTTTTATCCTTCCTCTGGCGATGATTTCGCGACTGTCCAGTACCTGAAAATTGATTTCAGAATATGTAAAAATAATCATTATATCAAATTTAATACTAGGTAGAATTAAACTTGATTTTAATGCGTCCATTATCCATTGATACGATGGTCCGACGGCGCTCTGATTCATAGCATTTTCGCGCCTTTTTTTTCATCTGTAAATTTTTTACTCCATCCCTTCAACGGAAAGAGACCGTACGATAACGGACGTTTTGACACTTTTTTAACAAATTTAATCTAACCTTAATAAAAATATAATAATACAAGAGCTAGTAGCAACAGGAAAACGAGAATTTTAAGAAAGCTGTGGTGGAACTCTGTAACTAAATAGCGATCGGTAGCGATAAAGAATACTGACCTTGGTCGTACAAACTAAACGGCAAGCGACAGTATTCTTCATCGCTACCGATCGCTATTTAGTTACAGAGTTCCACCCCTGGTTCCTTAAGATATATTTTGCTATGCTCTCCTGGGCTGTCTAGCTGCCGGTAGACTAATGCGGTTCACTACTGCGCATCACATCTGACAGGGTATCCCATTTTCGTCTGTTTATGGGATTTCTCGTTTATAAGTAGATAATGATGCAATTGTCACATTGCTGTGCTACTTTTTTATGAATCTCGTTTGTTCTAGCCTCCTTAGTTCCTAAAATACAGGGCGAATTTGTGATGCGCAGTAGTGAACAGATGTTGAATACAGATATGATGTATGATGCGCAGTAGTGAACGCAACGTCTACCGGCAGCCAGACGGTCCGCACTCTCTTCAGGAGAGCATAGCAAAGGTAAATATAAAATATATTAAAGAACCAGCTTTCTTAAAATTCTCTCTCAAAAAAACGTTGCTAGCTCATAAGTAAAACCGAAATCGTTATGAAAATGAAAATATAAAATAACACCAATGACAAATGCAATAAATTTAAAATGCATGAAAATGCAAAAAATTTAAAGACTGCATAATTTCCCAACCAATCGAAGTCTTTAAATTCAACCAATAAAATTAAAATCGTATCGTCGGACAACCGATGCATAAAAATCGAGTTTTATCAGTAGATTTTTTGAACTGACGACATGAACAGTCCTCAAGACCTGTCGTTCGTCATAATCCAGTAACAAGTGAGTAGACTTACGATTCCTTGAGACCCATAATATGGATTACACAACGTGAAACAAATGGACCCTTCCGAAAAAACGTCCAGGACATCTCTAAACGTCGAATGGTGTTGATCAAAAACACTTATTTCCGATACCACCGTTTGCAACGGATATACCGCAGTGTTTTCAGAAAATTGTTTCTCCAAAGTCAAACGGCCGCTAGGGGAAAACACGTATTTGCGACCGATCATTACTTGCACGTGGCACACAATTTGTACATCTCCTACTTCCACGCCCAAATTGTTCTTGTACCTTAGAAATTCAAATTACTACCAATAGAAATGCTTCCATTATTAAACGCATTTATTACCTGTCAACTATGCCACCATAAAGTGTCTCAAAATAATTCTTTTTGTCGTATTCTTCGGTATTGTACTGATTCTGGCCTCCCATACTAATATATTTTCGTTTGGCGTTCGATATGGCAACAACCCTAAAATACATCGCTTTCAACATTGATGAGTGAGCAAATATAATAATATATCAATCAATACACGGTAAAAGAAATATATTCGATACCAATTAAACTTTTAGTTACGCAATCCAGGGGCGATTTTTAAATGCATTGTTGCCAACGATGGACATATTCGGCGCCGGGCTGACTAACTGGAATTTAAATTTCCCGCTGGGGATTCGGGTGGTAGCTCTGCTGTAGAAAATGTCAGGTTGCCACATTTATATTTTTATTTCCTGACATTGTCATTCGTTTTGACACTTAAGTTTTGTATTACGAGTTTTTGGTTTAAATGAATTGTGTTGTGATACTTTAAGCTGAAACATTTTTACTAGCAGACCTTGCAGACGAACATTGTTCTTTTTAGAACCTCTTTTAGTGCGAAGTGTACAAGATAGCTTAACAGCCGTAAAAAAATCATCGCAACTTTATTAGAATATTTTGAACGGGAAAGCGGTTGTAATGACCTTTTATGTCCTCTAAGTGCTGTTAAGAAGGTGAATTTTGTTGATGTATCGATGAATCGATATTTTAATGTATTAGGGTGAGGCAAAAAAATTATCTGAATACCTTGCTTCAATTAAATGGGGCCAACCAACAAAAACATTCGTGTTTAACATATGAACTGGAACGTCATTTTCCCCGTCTATTTCTTCCTCCTGTATAATTTTTAGTATCATATTCTCGTAACGACTGGGTTGCTCAAACACACGTACTTTCGCCTTCTCTAGCTGGGCCTAAGGCAATATTTTAATAGTTAAATTAAATATTTTAATCGGAATATTAGTTAAAATTTCTGATGTTATCCATAAAATATTGTGCCACAGATAATGTATCCGTATCTGTATCATATCAGTAGAATGTCTGAATTTTTATTAAAAATTACATTAAGTTCTTTATTTTTAACGGAAATATACAGGGTGAGTTTTAATAAATAGCAAATATTTTCAGGACTGGTAGACCTCGATAAAAGAAGCATGTTTTCTCTTTACCATTTTTCAAGTAAGTCCTAAATAACCGAGTTGTTTTAATTCGAAAATAAAAAAAAATGCTTAAATTTTGAGAACCTCTGGATGTTTTCTGGGTTTTATTTCTAGCAAATTTAATCTACTAACTATGTTGTCTTATTATGAAGATATGTTTTTAACTAAAAATTTAAAAAATTCCAAAATGTTTTTTTGAAATTATACCAATTTCCAATTTATTTCAGTGTTACTGGGGTCGAAATATACCAACCCTAAAATATTTACACTTATCTCACTGTGTGACTCACCCTGTATTTTAAATAAATATTAATAATTATAAATTTACTTTTTTTAAATCAATATTAATAATTATAATTTTACTGACTTCATAAAACAAGACCAGCAAATTACTAAGTATACTCTGCTTTATATTTTAACATGTTGAAAAATATACCGATTTGGTCATTTTAGAAATGTGGTCTGGATTTTAACGTGTAAGACGTATTAAAAAATCAAATGTATTAAAAAGAGATAAAACTTGGGTTGGTACATGTCTTCTATGCGGTATTGCCGGATTTTGCATCAAAAGTTCAAACAGCACAAGTAGGCGTTTATGGAAAATATTGCATCCATGGTTGGAACCTTAGAGTTTATTTTTTTTTCTACACAAATTTTCCTACAAACGTAAAAACCGGCAACACTGTATGCCGCTTTTGGTTTTGTCTCTCTGTCGGTCAACCGGTCATTTATATTATTCTCTGTCTTACACGTTAAAATCAAGACCCCACTTCTAAAATGATAAAATAACTTCAAAAATGACCAAATCAGTATAACGCTACTGATACACCACAATTTAATTCAGTCATATTAAAAACCTTTGGTCATCTAACTAATTTTGCCTATATATTCCCTCTTTAGCCATTATATTCAATGTTTTATATAAACTACTATAAACTTACGGTATATTTCAGGTGCTTCATGGTAGGAAACCCAGGATAGTATACGTCAAAACTGGCTCCCGGATAAGCCCCTTTGACCAACTTGTCGCGGGGTACCCTGATGCTCTCTATAGTAAGAGGCATCAGTTTGGCGCGATTACGTTTCACTGGAGGGAAATAGCCGGGAGCGTCGTACTGGCCCATATCCTGACTGGTAAAAGTGTAAACCAGCATGGGACCGGGCTGGTTCCTCCGTAACTCTTCGGGAGTTAGTTTGTCGTTACATGATTGCATACTTTCCAAAAGCAATTTCTGAAATGGGAAAATAGTAGTGTCCATTTCATTTTGTCTCACTTTTAAAAAGGCTTTAACTATTTTTTTTGAACTAGAACATTTACTTTACAAACTTTTTTATTTACTTAGAAAATGTAAGGTATGCATTACACAGACTTGGTGTATTTCAGTTGATTTCAAAAAATTCCGACCACAGCGCTGTATACGGCAAAAATCAGAAATTTTCGCTATGTACTATACGCCATCCCGGTTACAGTTCATGTTGATCGCATTAAAATAATTTTGAAATCGTGGCTTTGTCATAATATTTAAGTATTTTAGTTTTTTCCTAGTGCAGTTACTGAAACTATAAAACACTCAGGTACGAGGTTTGTGTGATGTAACGCTATTTCGGGTAATACGAGTAAAAAATAAGTGAAAAAAAAACGAACTAGGCGTCATGTTGTGTTGTGACAATTTCAAACGTTAACAAAATTGCCGAAAAAATGTTATCGCGTGAAGGAGAGCGCAATTAGGGCGTTGTTGGGTGCGATAACATTCAATAATTCAACTTTCCCGGATATTTTTTCCGAAACAACATTTTTATAGCTTCACAGTTTCTCACACCGATCTGATCAAAAGCCAAGAGTAAACAAAGTGCTCATTACATGATCAAAAAATGAAATAGGCATATACTATGAGAGGAGAACATATAATTTGCAATATTAATGGAATACTTTTTTTTAATCAACTAGTGATTAAATGTTTTATGAACATCTTCTAAAATTACAATTATGAATCTTTAAAAAATTTCGTTAGAGCCGAAATAACCCCAATTATGACCCCACTAGCAAAAAGAGTGCGTAACACTATGCTCGCTACCGATATTAAGTATATTTTTAGTTGGAATAATAAATTATAATACAAGTTAGACCTTTTAGAATAATTATATAATAAATGTTTCGTATACTCGCTATTTAAACCCGTGTATTCGTTACTATATTATTTGTTACTATATTAACTATACCAGTTGTTTATGATATTCTCCGATGGTGGCAGCACCGGCAGAGAATGCACCAGGCTTATACAGGATATCCCAATATTTTGTAAATATAGAACTACTATGTATTTTTGGAATTAAACAAGTTAATTGAACACAATTTAACTTTACACAAAACTCCTTTGTTTGTTGACACTTGGAACCAGTAAAAACTCAAAAAACAGTTGTGTATTTTTTTTAAATTTCTTTCAAAATTGAAATTCTTATGAAAACAAATAAAATATTAAAGAAAACACTGTCAAGCCTAATTTACAAAGGAGATTTCAGAAAGCCTTTCTGATGTTTATAAAATAACTTATTTTAAATATAGAAAATAATAAACAAAATAAATTCACATACCTCGTCCATAAAAGGTATCAATACAACAGCTTCCCATTCCTGCTTTTTACCATTTAAATCAGTTTCAAAGTTGTCAGGATAATATTCTTTCATTACTGATTCTTCACTGGTCATCAAAGCATGATAAGCAGATGGCAAAAGGTCTTTACTGGCCGGCGGCAAAACTGCCAACAGCTGAAAAAATGTATGATGTGTGACAATTTATTACATAATGGTATTTTTTTCTCAACACCACAAATAATACAAATACAAGTCATAGTTCTGAACCGTTGTCTATAAAATATATAAAGTGTGCAGTACTTCAGATGTGGTCATTGAAAAAAAATTGCTGGTTTGGTTTGGTTTGGTTTGGTATAACTTAATATAATTATGTTAGTGTTTATTATTTAGCGTATGGCGTACATAGATTTAATTACAACATCAAATGTATATATTCAAACACAATATAATATGCAAACAGATTGTCATAAATTGTAAAAATAAAACTAAATATCTAAAAATTTATAAAAAAAATGTTAGTGTTGATACAGGGTCTTGGGACACCCTGTATCGTCTGTTTGGAATTTTCAGATTTTCAGATCACTGTGTGTTATCGATAAGATATAAGATACAAGAATGTAAAGAAGGAAATCAAAAAATGCAACAATTTCAAATTCACCCAGTATTTCAGGAACTAAAAGGGCTAGGACAAATATGTGTGTAGCATGTTTAGTTTCATAAAGAACTAGAGAAGTGGTGAGTTAACCGCATCTTTGTTGCTGCTCTACACATAAACGAGAAACACTGTAAAACACACAAAAATGGGACACACTGTACAGTACAAACGAATTGCTTACTTGTTCATATGGTTTAAAAGGTTGTCCCAATTCAAAGTCGATTTTTAAATTGGAAAAGTCTTTAATATCGGAAATGTAAGGTGCGTAATGGTGGGGATAGTACCACGACCAAGAGCACACGCCATTGTAGTAATAATTCAAGTTCCACTGTATTGCTCTGACATATCCTTCAGCCTGATCCCGCAGTACCTCACTAAAAAAATAAAAAAAACAGTTACAACCAATGACTAAAGAATACAAGGATATATAACGCCCATATACGGACTGCAGCAGAATTTGTTACATTAGACGCCATCATATTGGAGCCTACGGATAAGTCACCACCTCGTCAACAGCGAGTAAGAAGAGTAAGAAAAGTAAGAAGGGTTCATAGTTTCACAGTTGTCGATTTTCTAAAGAAATCAGTACATGTATATTATTTCCTATATTTTTCATTTTATTGATTATATGGAAAGCTCTGTTCATTAAAATGTTGTATCCTATGTTATAGGGCTTGTTTCTCTCTACAATTTCCTGTCTCACAATGTACCGTTTGTGTCCAGGAAGGGTTCATAGTTTCATAGTTGTCGATTTTCGAAAGAAATCAGTACATGTATATTATTTCCTATATTTTTCATTTTATTGATTATATGGAAAGCACTATTCATTAAAATGTTGTATCCTATGTTATAGGGCTTGTTTCTCTCTAGAATTTCGTGTCTCACAATGTACCGTTTGTGTCCAGGAAGGGTTCATAGTTTCATAGTTGTCGATCTTCGAAAGAAATCAGTACATGTATATTATTTCCTATATTTTTCATTTTATTTATTATATGGAAAGCACTGTTCATTAATTAAAATAAATTAAAATTAAAGTAAATGTATTTTACTGACACCAATATTTTCTCAACAAAATTCATTTTTACGTTTTAAGCCAAGTATAAACGTTTTACTTGTCAGATTAGATGGATTAATTATGATTAAAGAAATTATGATTAGAAAAAATTATGATTAATTTAAAAAAAAATAAAAAGTTCCCAAATTTGTAATTTCAGTCACATGATTATCCAGATACTATATTGATATACAATTCGGATCACCGTGTATTATTACTTATTTAATTTAATTGTGTACTACATTTATTAAATAAAAACTTACGGTGTGACATTCTCATAGTCTAGCTTATTTCTATAGTAGTCCTTTTTAAAATTTTCAAATGCCAGTTCGTCCTCATCTTTATCACTATCGTTTTCCGATTCTTCTGAAAACTACAAAAATATTTCATAAAAAAATAAGAGTAAGTTAAATCTAATGTTAAAGACTACCATATCATCAGTGTCCTTAATAAGAGCTGCTAATTGCGAATCGGTATTAGATTTGGATTTTTCAGACTTAAGCAACTCTCCTGGAATATCTCTATCTCCATTATTCTGCTGAGTCTAAAAAATACTTGTGATATTTTACTAATTAAAATTAGATAAAAAATTACATCTTTCTGTGAAGATTTCCCTTTAGGTTTGTAAGCAAACATGTTTGATAATTCCTTGAAAACTTTTGGATCAACAATGAGTGGTTGAAGAAAATCCTAAAATTGTCAATTACACAGGGTGTGCCAAAAAGTTCACAGCAAATGAGAAATTTTAAATATTAAGTTATTGAAAAAGTTTATAGAGAATTTCATTGTGTCCGATAACAAAACAAATCTAAGGCGGCAAATTGTAGTCTTTTCAACAAATCAGGAGAGATTTCGACAAATAACACTCAAAGAATGACAGAAAATACTATTAACCTGTGAATAAAAATGACAGACACGACTGTCACAGTCGTGTATCCTCTTTTTGGACAGACTATACCAATCTTATACCGGGTGCGTCTCAAAAGTGGTTTACCTCTATAACTTATTATTTTTTCAGATAAAACAGGAAGTTTGGTATACTGTTTTTTTTCTCAGGTAAGATTTCGACAGACGATGACAGAAAAAAAGCAGATGACTTCCATACCAATCTATTTATTTCACTAAAAAAAGTATCTAATGTTTTTTAAGTTGACTATGTATGGGTTTATAAATAAATACGTCATGCGTCGTCTCTTGTTGTTTTTAACCAGTTTTATTGGCTTATTTCAAAAACCAATAAAACTGGTTAAAAACATGTTTTATTTCAAAATCATATTTCAATATTATTGGTTTGACGCAACGATGAACGACAAACGGACTCCGATATGACTCCGATGCGTATGAACTCGATTTAAGATTTTTGAGAGTTGTCAAACTCTTGCCAAATTATAGGTTATAATTTTGTGTCAAATTATGTCAAATAGAAATGAAGAATATTTTGCATTTTGGACTGTGTTGTTACTTGTGTTTGGTGTTTTTTAAAATTAAGTGGAGGAAAACTCGAGCGAAATTAAGTGTTGACCGAGACCAAAAGTTGTTGACATTTCCGGTGAAACAGGAAGTAACCGAAAAGAATTCAATATGTCAATCAATCCTAATTTATGTTATATACTAACATACCAAATCTCGTTTTTTTTATCTACAAAAATAAAAAAGTTATAGAGGCGAGCCACTTTTGAGACGCACCCGGTATACATATCCAAAAAGTGAGGTTAGATGACAAAATGTTGAAAAAAGTCAAAATGGAAACTTCTTCAGAATCAGTTTCAGGATCTATGTACCAAGTTTGATAAATATACAGAACCTTTCAAAAAGTAGCAATTTTTGAAAGTCCTCTGTATTATTATGCAATTTTGTACCTTAGATCTTATAAACTTCCTTTGTACATACAGTAAATCCCCGTAAGGATTGTCTTTACAAGAGGAAAAACTTTTTTATTATAGACATTTTTTTGAGAAAAATGGTATTCTTCTAGACGTAGAAACAAATTCTGAACATTTTTCTTTTATTAACACCTAACCACTCATGTTGCATATTAAAGAGGATTTTTGTAATTTGCCACCTTGCCACATAATGTCAAATTTATTATTTTTGTTATTGGGCATGCTCAAAAAATTCCTCAATTTTCTTTTCAAAATCTCAATGAATTTTGGCAATCCCTGTACAATATGATACTTCGTTGTCAACATACTTCAGCAGTCATCAATTTTTTTGATTCCAGAAACATTTTGTCATCACGAATATCTTCAAAATTTTCTATGTCAAAGTCTGATAGTTTCTGCATAAACTTTTCGAAACGTGATAAATTTAAAGTGCCAGCTTCATTAATGTACCCTGTATTATTAAAAAAAAACAATATAAAATAAATAATTAACCAGATTGTATAACTGGTAAGATAAAAAGTTTCAAATACCATCTAATGTAGGTAAGACGTCCATGTATGCTTTATACAAAATGGGCAATGCTCCATCAGCTATGTGCAAATGTGGCAAATTGGGTATAAAGTCATTGCCCACTAAAAATCCCATAAGAACCTAAACAGATTATAATCAATATTTACAGGTATATACATGGTTAATTGTTTGTTACCCAATCATCGATGATTTTTTCAAAATCATATTCAAAGTTAGTCAATTTTTCTTTAACTGGTGCAAATTCAAGTTCCAAATATTCTCTCATCAGTGATAAGTGAAGTAAAAAAAAAAAGTAATCTCTTCTGGAACTGACAGTCTTTTGTAGACTTTTTTCCAAATTTCACCTTAAAACAACATAACATATAATAAAATAGTTGTATGAGATTAGGCAAAACTGATTACCTCCTCTCTCAACAAACTAAAATGAGGCTCATGTGTACACAAACCTAACATAATTAAATCGGCATCTAATCCATATAAACAATGCCTTGTGTTAGGGTCGTAACCTGGCTGGGACCTCATATACCTTATATAATCCATAATTTTGTGTTCACCTTCACCAGGTGTCTAAAATTTATTATCTGTTTCAAATGTTATCTAAGGCATAACAAGAAAATCTACCTCATGTCCTGATAAAATAACAGTCACTCCTCTCCATAACGAATCATTTGATAATTTATCTACTACAAAATACTTTAACTGTTCGTGTAATCGAGCCATAAACACAGTTCCCGGAGTAATACAATTCGAGTCAAACCTTGATTCGCTTGGTAAAATTTCACCCTTTTTTAGAGCGTCTGCCTCTTGTTTTTCTGCATCTTTGGCTGACCTGAACCTACGCCCCCTCTGCTGGTTCATTTTAGCCCTTGGTGCTACACCATCAATAGCCATAAAAAACAGTTTTTGGGGCCTAATCATGCGAAATAAAACTTCCAAATAATGAAATATATCTTTAAATATTTTCTCCTCTGTGATACGAAAATGTGGATTGTTATCATCAGGATGAGAACACATATGTATTATACCGTTCATATCCAAATACATGTTATCAAATTCTGGGATCTGGTAATATACAATGTTTAAAAATAAGAAAGAAAATATTACCTATATTTACAGTACCTGATAATCCTTAACTACTTCACTTAAACAGGGATATCTTTCGCTTATATATCTAAAAAACTTTGGAACTCCCATTATAGAAAAGGTTTTGTAATAAGTGTAATATTTATCAACTTGTAACTAAACGGTGCCACCTAACTAAACTATAACACAATCTATAACACCTCAATCGCAGCAAATATCTGTTATTTCTTATTTCACAGAATACTTGAACAAGCGTTTATTTATCTTGAAAAAAGATAAAAAAAACCTCTGTCTGCATATGACTTTATAAAATATAAACTGCTGTAATTACCAGGCATGGAAAAATAAAAAATATTGGCTTTTCTTTTTAAAATATTGAAATCTATAAGTTGACATTGACATTTGACGTTAACACTTCGTTCTTCTTTGCTATTTTATTTGGCATTTTTTAACATATCACTAACATATTTAACAATGATGCTAGCACTCAGATTTTTGTGGTGGTTGAAGTGCGTCCCAATTTTAAATGTTAGAAAAATAGATAATCTGGCTGAATCATTGGGCTGAATGGCTGAAATCTGTGCTGAAATGGCAAGTAGCCGTTAGCCAAAAAAAAGGATCATATATGAAGCATATATAATTTGTTGGTTGATCTATGGAAAACGAAGGCCTATAAAAACTAGGGCTGGGTATAGTATTTATGATTACCTTTTCCGTCTTTTACACATATCTACATCTTGATAAAAAATCTTGAAAAAAAATTTTTTTTGCCTTTCAAACATAGAATTAGGTGAAATGGTGAAACCTAGATTTGTCTTTTTTTTTTGCCTAAATTTCGATTTCTACACAAAATAAAAATATATAAATTACCAGTAAAATGATGAGAAAGAAATCAAAGGTGAAATATCAATTAACTTAGTTAAGAGCTCTTTTGTAAAAAACTGGGTTTTGACGTTAAGGTTTTACACGCCTGGCTATATAGAAAAGGAAAGAAAAGTATACAGGTTGAATGCTATTCTAAATAGCACAAAAAAAATAAAGTACTTCAAAAATGCAGCTAGATTTATTTGGAATAAATATATTATATACATTTTTAGCCCCCCCTCATTCCCCATATAAATACACATTTTTCTTGCATAGTAGTCAATTAGGATATCGTTGACATGCCCACCAAAAAGCCTACTAGAAACAGTAAACTAATATTCCCTTGAAATGATAAGCAAAATGCAAAAAAATCATCTATCCAAGGTATTCTGTAATTACAAGGAAAAATAGAAAGTTTTTGACATACTATAGAGAAAAAATACATTGTAAAATCTCAAAAACTATTATAGGAAAGTCTAATAAATATATAAAAAAATATTATAGGAAAGTCTAATTAAAACTGCGAATTTCATGGAACTTTTAAGTACAACTATACTTGAAATCTATTGACCAAACAACACTTCAGTTTTGATCTGTAAGAAGACTATCTTAATTTAATTATAAAAAGAGTTACATACATTCTTTAAACCTTAGGCCTCACATATATAAAGGAGAATATGGAAGTTAGTAGACATAAAATAAAATAAATAAATGTGAAAAACTACAAATATAAAATAATTTCGCTAATAATAATATATAAATTAAGTTTAAATTGCTAAAACACAATAAAAATAAAACGAAATCCTTCCAGATCCTCTAAAAATCATCTAAAACATGTATAATGGTCAGTAGATTCCAGGGAGAAAATTGGTATGTATCAAGAAAAAATAATATATTTGATATCTAGTCTCTTTCAGTCTGTAATTGAGATCTGAGCAAATCCAATTAACGCCTTATCATCCGGGGTCTCATTACTGCCAATACTTGAATTCTGTAAAAAAATAAAATATTTTTATACATATTTCATCATACCAGTAAAAAAGTTTGGAACAAATAGTACTTAGATGATAGGTTTGTTGTGCCTTTCTAAGATCATTTTATGCTTTGAATCTAATTTTATCTAATCCTTTAATCTAATTTTATTCAAAACGTGTAAAAATATGGTGTAGGGTAGACTCGATCATTTGTTGCTTTATTTTACGTTGTCAATAAATGTTGGTAGTTATTAAAAATGTTAATAAAAATAGTTAACTTATAATAATTATTATTTAATTAATAACACAAACATCCGATACGCTACTGAAGCAGGAATGACGTGTTCTTTCACAAGTAGTAAATAAAAGCTTAAATGCAAGAAAAAGTATATAATTAGTTACTTTTAAGTGAATTTCATAAATTATTAGTTTAATAAACATATGTATATTATATAGTCACTAATTACTGAAAAGTTAGTAAGTATACGCAAATACAGCGTGACCCATCGAAAACGTTCCGCAAGGCATAACGGCCAGGGTAATTTTTTTTTTCAGAAAATACAAAAACACGTCAATTTTGTTTGTGAGGGGGACAACTTTTGTCCCAAAAATGATTGCCTTTTTTTTGCCGCTAAATTTAAAAATGTGACTAAACCATGTAATTATCAATTTCGCCCCCGGTTATCAATTTCGCCCCAAACTACGGTACTGGGCTGAGGACAACCCCAGGATTTTTCACGAGGTGCACACACAAAACCCTCAAAAATTTAACGTGTAGGCTAGTATTTTTGAAAATTCTATTGTAGGTCAGTTTAACGATATTGAGAAGAACTTAGCACAAGCAAGAGAAGAACAACGCACAAGTCACAGAACAGCTATCTAGCAACTATCGCACCTGATCGTTCAAATTGTGGCAATTGAAAAAATGCGTAAACATCTAGAAATATTAAAGAAAAAACAGCAAATTGGTCGAAGGAACTTATCCTTATCATCTACTCTAATAAACGTTTAAAGAAACCTTTCAAATTTCAATCCTTCATATTTTCTCAATGACTCGACCGATTTTCAAAAACAAAGCGGGGAAATATAGAGAATAGAAAGCTCTTTTCATTGCGGCGCCACTTGACCCCCCTTCCCATTTAAAAAAAGTTGGGGGATGACACCCCCGCTTAGAGGGTTGAAGATTTTGCATCATTTTTGGGGCAAAAGTTGACCCCCTCACAAACAAAATTGACGTATTTTGGGGTTTTATGAAAAGAAAATACCCTGGCCGTTATGCCTTGCGGAACGTTTTCGATGGGCCACCCTGTATATTATCTCATAATATATTAATAACTACCTATTAATATTTACTGACTGAACCTAAAGCAAAAATCAACAAATTATATCCTCTACCCAACTTTACATTTACATTTTAACAGGATCAAAAAAATTAATTGTCACTCATAAGCTGGAATTAAAGGGTCCCTCGCAATAGCGCTAATTTGATATAGTAAACGCCACGAATGTTTGGGAGTGATTCATTGCTTAATGAAGTTAGAATCGACACGCGCGCTATTATTTTTACACTAAAAACGTAAATTTTTACCGCAGACGTAGGTTTTTAAAGGCCCGGTCTAATCATCTGCCTGCGCTCCTCCTACATATTCTAAAATGTTAGCGTGATTGACAAAGACGATACTATATCGCGTTTCTTTGATTGATTCGTTTTTGTGCGCCAGTCCATTGGTGTGCTTGCAGTGCGACCAGTAGGGCATTCCATTTTATATTTATAACCAAATATATGTTTTGACAAGACTTGTCTTGTCTTGTCTCGGTTTTGGCTTTGCCACTGGGCAATTGCCAGTTTGACAAGACTTTGACAGTTAAAACAACAAATTACAACAGATTATATATTGATTATTATATGACTTGAAACACTACGGCACTGGAATTAAGTTTTATGTGACCTTGAACAGATTAGTTCACATGGTAGCGACCGATAAATCACTCCCAAACATTCGTGGTGTTTACTATATACTCTTTACTTCAAAACCATTAGAAATGTTATGCGTCAATTGTTATTTTGCAGATTAAAAACTGACTTTTAAGAGTCCGTTTCACTAGTCCGAAAAACTAGCAAAATAAGCGTCCGGCATTTAACGTTTTATGTAAAACTGACTAGGTATTTTTACACAAATGAAGAAGGAAATTAAATATAAAGGATTATACTATATCCGTATTGTAGCACATTTTTAGACAACTTCTTTATTTTTAAGATTTTGATGGTCAAACATCAACAAAATATTCCTTATGTTTGGACTAAATTTTCTCGAAAATAAAGACATCATTTAAAATTCCGTTACAATACGAAAATAGATTGAAGTTTTGTGATTACAGTGATATATAATTTATATGGTTTTGTAACAAATTGCTCGCTATTTTATGGCAAATACTGAAGCTCTGCAAACCTTAATCAAAGCACGTGTGTTTGGAATTTTAGGTGTGGCTTAACGCGACAGGATCGGGCTAAGCCTTAGGCAGATTTCTGAAATATAATGTATATTTCCTTTGGCCACACACCCGCTTTACCCAACCCCGGAGAGCGACCCGAACAGTACTGCATAATAGACTTAAAAACTTAGGTAAAATGATCAAAATGAAAAGTATTGTAAAAATGTCTGTGAATAACATAGGCCAAAGCAAATCAATCAAACAAAAATACCTATTGCAGTATTTTTAATTACTGTCTTTCAATAAATTGTATAAACAACTAAAAAAAGTAATTAGAAATGGTCTATTGAAAAAGGTATCTTACAAAATGACATTTTTTATTTTTTACAAGACTAAAAAATTATCCTTTTAAAAACCGTTTTTTTTTATTTGTTGCATTTTATTAGTGTATACTGTATAAATTATTAAACAAAACTTACCAATTGGAACGTCACCACTTTAACAGCGTGCCTTTGATCGATAAGTTTTTGCAAATTCTGTGATATAGGTGTTATATCTTTGCCATCAACCAGACCAGCGCCCACCAATTCGCTTGCAATTCCTTCTGCGGAATCTTTTCCAACGGCAAACTCGAATCGAATATCGTTTAGTTCCCGTTTCGCGTTCCTAGAAAATGAAATATAAGAATAAACGTAAAATTCTCAATAATAATAACAGTAATAAAACAATTTACGGATTTGGCAGGACAAGGGAGGACTAACCTAAATGGAATGGATCGTTCCAGTTCTCTAAAACAGGTAAGGAATGGATTAGGAAGGAATATTAAGTAGTTAATTAGTTATTAGTACCAGAGGATCGAAAAAACGGCGCCGGAATTAGTTTGGAAATAAAGATCGCTGTCTTTTATTTCTTTCCAAAACAACTGGATGCCGTTTTTTTTTTCATTGTGAAATATTAAAAGGATTTCAGCTTTCTTCTACACTGTCGCAGATAAGTACAAAACAAACGCCTATTATTTAAAGACCGAAAACAAGTTTTGTCTTATATTTTCAAAAAAATAGCAAATTGTTTTATGAGGAGTAAAAATGAGACTTTTTTATGGCGAGGCTGTATGTCTGACATTTAAGGGGAGGCACAAAAAGTACATTTTTACTACAAATAGAACATGCTATTTTTTTCAAACATCGCAAATAATATAAAAAGTAATACCTTGCAAGAAATTATATTATACCGAGCAACAATCGGTACACTCGTTGAATTTGATACATTTGACATAAAGTCTATAAAAGTCTAAAGTAATATATTTTTGCACTTTTGTGCTTAGGCATAATTTATTTAAAAATTAATTTTCTGTACAATTTTTTTTCGTATCGCGAGCTGATAGACCCGCGTAGTTTATATAGTTCTTAAGATTTCGAAAATTTTCCAATTTTCTATGCAATTTTCTTATGATATCAACAAGACTTACCTCATCCTTAATACCAGATTTACTGGCGGAGGTTCACTCTCACTACTCTCATGGTCCGACCCAGAAGACCCGGCCGATACCAGCGTGTTCATGGGTTTAACGTCAGAATCGCTGTCGCTCGAATCGTCTCCGTCCTCGTCCTCGCTGGACCACACCCACTCTCCCGTCTCTTTCCTGTGCAGCCTGCCCGAAGCGCCAGGTTGTCTTCTCGAAGCCTGCAATACAATACAAAGGCATAATGTAATAGAGAGAGTTGCGCAGATCCCAAACCTTTTGTACTCTTGTCTCTAAGCTGGGGCCGATGGCAATCAGCGTTTGTTGCAGGTATTTCTTGTCCTTGGCCTTCTTGAAAAAGGGGTGCTTCAAGAGCTCGGCGGCCGTTGGCCTCTTAGCGGCCTCTTTTTGTAAACAGTCCGTTATCATTTTTCTGAAAGTTTTGCCGTATGCCTATAAGATAGAATAACATAAATTTAGGACCTTTAATTTATTTATTTTATTTTAAATATATGAAAAAAATATATGTATTAAATTATATTACCTTGTATTGATCTTTTTCTTCAGCCCCTGTATCTAGATTAGGAGGGTCGTTTTGTAATGTCAACATAAGTACCTTCATGGGAGGGTACTTGTGATAGGGGGCAGTACCTGTAGCCATTTCAATTGCGGTAATTCCAAACGACCATATATCAGCTTTAAAGTCATATCCATGATCCTAAAAGTATTTAACATTGTAGTACTTCAGTCTTAAAAAATACTTAATAAAAAAATACTGTAATTGTTATAAAACAAATTGTGCAGCATGTTCCCTTTTTATTGATAATATATTTCCCAGAAATAATAAACTTATTTTATCAAAACTGATTAGAACCATAATATTTTATCTAACCCACTTCTACCACATTATACAGGATGATCAAGTGTTCTACAAAAGTTCATGTCACACTTCTTATATTTTGAGACTTTACAGAGAGAATCCAATATAGTTTACTAAACTAAATAAATATAACACTATATTTACAAAAAATAACTCTATTGTGTACAAGAAAATATTGTTTAAAAAAGAGTAAACCTGATAAGGAACTTTCTTATAACACTAGGCCACCACTGTATAATTATTATTATGATATAAATTAGAGGATTTTTTGATAAGAGAAACGTTTTCTTTGAATTGTTTACCTGTTCCATTACTTCTGGCGCCATCCAACAAGGTGTTCCCACAAATGTGTGTCTCACTTTTTCTCTGGAGAGATCTCTACCTGTTGCAAGCCATGCAGAAACTCCGAAATCAGCAATTTGCACTGTTCCATCTTCACCCAAAAGAATATTTCCAGCTTTGATATCTCTGTAATATTATTAGAATTTATAAAAACCAATTTTGAACATAATTCTGTACTATATTAACCTGTGAATTTGGCCGTTACTGTGAAAATACTCCAGACCTTTAAGGACCTCTCTCAGAACAGTTGCTATAGTAGATTCATCAAAAACACCGTGTTTGCAATTGGACACCCTCATTTTATGTTTAATAACATCTAAAAGGCTTCCGCCCTCTAAAAGCTTTAGCACTAGCCATAGTTCCTCTCTAACTACAAAGCTGGTATAATAGGTGACAACGTTTTCGTGATTACATGATGACATAGCTTGAATTTCTTTAAGGAGTTCGTCCATGGAAGTATTCCATTTTTCCAAGTTGATCCTTTTGATGGCACACTTTTCATTGCGAGGTTTACAAAAAGCACCATGAACCACAGCTGTAGCTCCAACACCTGAAATAAGTGTGAAGTGTAAAGAAAAAAAAATGATAGTAACAAGAGAATAAGTCAATAAACTCAAGTATCAAATTAAAAAGTTATAAATACTATTTGACCTGAGTAAAACGAGGTCACGGTAATAATTAGGATCAGCTCAATTATTATGAATGCAAATATTTTATCAACTTGTATAGCTTTTGAATTAAGTTTTCATACACAGACACTTTCTGTAAATAAAACGGACTAGGCTATAAAACAGTATCTTATAAGTGCAATGAATCTCCCGGTACGACCGTGGAGAGTGCCTCTAAAAGCGTAAACTTTTCGTGAGATGTAAAAACTGGTACCGGAATTCTAACACCAAAAAAGTACATAACCTAAACACCACACTTATTCATCAATTTGTGCTGTTCCCATATCATGTCCGTTGGTGATTTATGTCTTGGGTGGTACTTTTTCTTAAGCAGGACTGGAAAAAACATTGTACTAACCGATAACTTTTCCCAGTTCGTAATCATCTTTGGAATTTGGCCACGGCACTGACGGCTGGGAACTTGACGCCGCCATTTTTCTGGACAGAATGTTTCCAATGTTGCTAATAGATTGCGTTGCTGCTTTTGCATATCCCCCTAGCGATAAATATTGGAAACTGGTGTTTTGCGGTTTCTGACGAAAGATGCCGTGACTTCCCGGAGGAAGAATTTCTTCCGAAATTTTTCTAAAAAAACAGAAAAACATTTTATTAAGATATTCTATCAACGCGAAGTTTATTTTTCATGGAGTATAAAGATAATATATTTAATAATACCAATGTAAACTGAGTAATAGTGAAGAGGACGTGATTTAATCAAATTTGTTGTTATCCCTAACAGCTGTAGCTAGGATTAATTTATTAAATACGCCCTAAAGTAAAATTATTGAGTTTGGTGTTTACTAAAAGATAACTAATAAATCTACTACAGACATATGAAATCAAAATGCCTACAAATCTGATTAGTATCCTCATATTATTAGTTATAAATCTGAGTAAATAATCTCATTAAGAATTAACAAACTAATTCTAAATGATACTCTATTATTTTTACAAGATATAAAAAACAATATAAAATGAACCAAAATTATTTCAAATTGTACAGTCGAATTCTGCATTTCTCACGTTATGAGTCAAATACGATACTTTTTGGTGAGTAATTAGTATTTTTTATATATTCTTAACAAGGGATATATAGTTACCTTTTTCCTATGGATAGCGCACTGAAGAACTTTTGATTTTGAAAAACAACTTCGCCATCAGGTTGTTCCATTTTATATACTCCTGTTTTACGTCTTCTAAAGCTACTGAAAAAAAATAATAATAGTTTAATATATGGCCAATTTATTATTAGAGATTATTTCTACTATTAATAATTTATCAAATAAAAATTCAAAGTTATTAACGCATCTTTGTTAGAACAAATTGATATCGAGAATATATGTTAAGTTTTCGGTAACGTAGTCGGTCACATTTTGTTAATTATCTACATTTAACAACTTTTTATGAAGTAATAGCGTAAATAAATTGTCTCTTAGCATATCAAAGGCTAAAATTTGATATTATAGGTAACTTATTGTCGATTATATGATGCCTATATAGTTGTTAACTAATAAATGTTTAGAAACACCGTTATTACATTATAAAAATACCATACAATTAAAAAACGCGTTATAGTGACTTTTGAAACGACATTCATTGGTATTTTTCTCGTATCGACTTCTAGGTATATGTGTTTCATCAATAATCAGCATAAAAAATGTTAAAAACAGCTACTTAAAACATTCCTAGGGGTAAAATATACAGTGCGCAGTGCGTTACAGAGAAAATTGTACAACTTTGCAATAGTCTTTTACGATGGTGTTTAGCGATCATAATAAATAAATAAGAGGATGAATAACGAACCCAATTTGTTTATCTACGGTTGTTGATGGATAAATATAACAATTTCTCTTTCTAAAAATAGAACTCTTTATTTGCTAATATACTCTAAGGTCAGATCAATTTTTCGATGTAGCTTATAGTGCATATAAGACCCTTGACTTGGTACACTAAAAAAAATGTAGGGTTTGATTAAGCCATAAAAAATGCTTATGTACGAAAATGTCTTAATAAATGTAATTAATTTAATTGTCTTTTCTTTTTTAACATATTAAGAATTGTTACTAAACATAATAACAGAGAAAGTAGGTAATTCTGACTATTACATTACAGCGTTATTTACAAATTTGTAAAATTAAACTACTTACTCTTGTTTTTATATACCGGGTGCGTCTCAAAAGTCCCACCCCCTATAACTTTTTTATTTTTTCAGAAAAAAAAAACGAGATTTGGTATGTTAGTAAGTATATGACATAAATTAGGATTGATTGACGTTTTCAATTGTTTTCGGTCACTTCCTTTTTCACCGGAAATGACTACAACTTTTGATTTTTAAATGGCACCCTCTGTATTTTTTTTTGTTTCGATAGAAAATAACTTTGCGAATCGAATGACATATCATATTTAAACTTTTGACATATTCACTCAAAAACAAATTGTATTCCAAATTTCAATCTAGAGTGCCATGACTGTGTCAAAAACACTAATTTTTAATCAAGGAGCCTTGGAAAAATAGATTTGATCGTCTAATGTTTTTAGTGTCTTGTCCTGGCCAGTTAAAAGGTGCTCATATCGTATTTTTAGCCATATCTCAATTTTTTCAAATGGAACGAGGGTGGTTCATTAGCATATTTGGAAAAAACATTTTTTTGCAAATAATTTGATACTTTTTAATTGATTATAATTTGAAATAAACCATATGCTAAAATGTCAAAAGTTGACATATGATATCTCATTCTGTACAGAGTCTCATTTTCTATCGAATATAGTAAAAAAATATCGATAGTTCCCGAAGGTTCCATTTAAAAATCAAAAGTTGTAGTCATTTCCGGTGAAACCGGAAGTGACGGAAAACAATTGAATATATCAATGAATACTAATTTATGTCATATACTAACATACCAAATCTCAATTTTGTTTTTCATTTTTATTTTGTTTTCAAACGTCACAATAGTATTAATTTTCACGACGTGATTGGCAATGTAACTGTCAAATTCAACTAGCGTAATCATAGTTTCTGAACCTGATTAATGATTACTTACAAGGTATTACTTTTAAATATTTTTATATTATTTGAAATTGTTTAAATACTAATTTACGTCATATACTAACATACCAAATCTCAATTTTGTTTTTCATTTTTATTTTGTTTTCAAACGTCACAATAGTATTAATTGTCACGACGTGATTGGCAATGTAACTGTCAAATTCAACTAGTGTAATCATAGTTTCTGAACCTGATTAATGATTACTTACAAGGTATTACTTTTAAATATTTTTATATTATTTGAAATTGTTTAAAAAATTATTTCTGGCGTTTGAAAAAAATAGCATTCGAAGTAATAATGATTTTTTATGCTTTGCATATACAGGGTGTCCCAGGTTGAGCGTGCATTAGAAGTTTCTATAGAACTACAACATCTAGCTCGGAGATTTTTTGCACATCATAGTTTCACAAGGAGATCTATCGACTAAAAATATTTTCAATATGGCGGCACTTCCGGAAATACCGGAAGTTGACAGCAACTTTCTTATTTTAAATAGGTGCCCCCATTTTTTATTATGTACTTAAGTTCTCTGTAAAATTTTATGAATTTTGATATTAAACACTGTATATCTAACATTAACCGTTTTTGGTTTTTCAATTCGTTACTTTTTTACTATACATGTTCCTATACCTAAAATAAATCGTTTTTAAGTTATTTAAGATTTAGTATTAAAGCGTATATTTTTCTTAATTTTAACTAGTAGCCTATGACTTTAAACGTTAAGTGATGTAAAACACTAGATCTAGCCATGTCATATTGTGACGCTTTGTTCAAAAAGCAGCATCATTTTCGTGCCAACTTTGCGCTGTTTTTTTTTTTCGATCATACGGAATATTAATAATATCAGCTATTAGATATCACTAAAGAGCGAAAATACGATATATATTTTTCTAAATACACTTTTTAAACTCTTAAGGTAGGCAGTATTTGTACTTTAGGAAATTCAAATAATTATTAGTATAAAGTATTTAAAGTGTTTTGGTATAAAGTACAAAAAAAAACGATACCTGTTAAATTAATCATATCTTTGCCGAAAGAGGTGTTATTTTACTAATAAATAATAATTACTGCTAATTTATTAATGGATAATGATGATGAGTAATATGATTAGTAGATTAATGTTAAAATTGAAATGAAGAAGATATAGTTTTACATTAAAAAAAGTAGTAATTTTACACATACCTATAGTTATTAATCCACTTATCATCTAATGATCTTCTAGTACAAATTCACACAAATGTTACAGAGAGACAAACTAAAAGTTTGAACACTAAACACGCACTAGTATTCTGGCTTTGGTAATGTCACCAGGGCAAGACTCGATCAAGAACTGAGTAGAGCTCAAACTGGACTACAACATTTTATGTCATTCTTGATCATTACGAAAATGGAAGGGCTCGAAGTAATTTAGGTTTTAAAATTTAGGTAACAATAAAATAATTTAGCCTTTTTTTGAATATACTTATCTACCTGGTAGGACTAATTAAACAAATGGGGCATACTGAAGCGTCAAATTTATGACAAATTTCTATTCAGGAAAGTGATAAAGGATATTCTTATTATTGGGTCTGTTGGTACCTACGTTTGAGAAGAATTATTATTTATAGAGTAGGTATCAAAGAAAACAAAACTATTAAGAAAATGACTCTTTAGAATACTACTAATATAGTAATTTTTATTTTACGACCATATTCAAATGAAGTTCTCGTAAACAAATTATACTATAAAGTAAACGACATTTGTATATACAGGGTGAGTAAACTACTACACTGTAAAAAGTACAATATTTTAAAAATGTCATTTTGCTACAATTACAATAATTTAGGAAGTTCGCCACTGAAATAAACAATTAAAATAAATAAATAACAAATAAATAAATAAATAAATAAATGCTTTTATTGTCAAAAAATTTTTCAATTCGTAGACAAAGGTAAACTAACAAACAAAGTAAAAAAACAAGGTACACAAACAAACAAACAAAAGATAATACAAAACATTATACAAATAATATTGTCAGTCTTATTGTTAAAATAAACATTTATAAATGTTTATAATGTCAAAGAACAAAAAAATAAAAATAATATTCGATTGACAAAAAGTACTGTGTTCAAAATCTATGAAGACCAATTTTATATTTTTTTCGTATATGGTTTACTTGAAATTATTACATGCGGTTTATAACGACAATTTGACTCGAACTATCAAGTGTGTGGTACCAAATTATTGGAAAAAAATGCTTTTTCCAAATATGCTAACGAGCCACCCTTATTCCGTTTGAAAAAAATGAGATATGATTAAAAATACGATTAGGGCATCTTTTAACCGGTCAGGACAAGACACTAAAATCAGTAGACGATAAAATCTATTTTTCCAAGGCTCCTTGATTAAAAATAAGTGTTTTAACACAGCGAAGACACTCTATAGATTGAAATTTAAAATACAAGTCTCATAGGCATAACTCTTGCGTTTTTTGTGGTCTGCTTGCGTAACTTCATGTACTGATTCTTTAGCTAGATTTATTTGCAGTATTATTATTTCAAATTATCAACGTATTTTTCGGTGTGGTCATCATCATCATCATCTTTTCAGCTTATGCAACCATTTCCAATTATGGTGTAGCCTCATAAATATAGATACTCTCTTTGTACTTCGGCCCATTGTTGCCAGATCAAAAGGGCCTTTCAAGAGTCTTGCAGCAAGACTTGTCTTTGGTCTAACCATATCTGAATCTTACATAACCAAGACCAAAACCATTAAATCAAGACTATTATTATACTGCAAGACCAAGACCTAAACCATGGGAGTCTTGATCTTGCATTTGATGATCACTATTCTTAATTGCCTGTCTCATGTCTCATTTCACGGTACGTCACTGCCTGGTACATTCAAATTTTTCCAAACAAAGCCCTAAATGCATAAGGTACAATTCCATATGCGATTATTCAATTGAATTCATTTTTGTCACAATAAAAATCATACATTTAATTCTATGATAAGCAAAAATTCAACAACAGGTAAATCGAATTATAGGAAAATATTTCCAGAAGCACACGATATACTACTCAAATAAATACATAAGAAATCTATAATTTTTACATAGAAATTGTAAGAAATAAAAGTGACCTAACGACTTTATAAACATCAGTTCAAAGGCCACTGTAACGCCGTTTTTCTTTCGATCTTATGGTATTCTACTGAAGCAAAAATACTGGGATACCCGGTATATACAGGGCGAATCTTAGATAAATGTAAATATTTTCAGAGCTGGTATATCTCTCAAAATTTCTTTCGCGAAAAAAAGCCTCATCGATATTTTTCTGGGATCGAGATATCTATCCCTCAAAATATTTGCACTTATTACTTGATTCACGCTGTATAGGGTTTCCGTAAAAGTTTTTGGAAATTCCGGACAAATGACTTCTGAAATCCGGCACAACTGTCAATCACCCATAATCTGTAATGAATCGTGTGTAATCAAATTTAATGGATCGTTGAACAGACTTATATTCATAAAGCCCACGTAATCGTAACAAAATAAAGACAAGGAAAATTCACAATTCACCATTGTTGTTTTTTACCTTAACTTTAAAACACCCTGTGCAATAATTTCGTCAGTGCAATGACTAAAGAATATAAGGACATGTTACGCCCCTATACGGGCTGCAGCAGAATTTGTGACCTAATTAGAGACCTTTCTTTTGGTGGCAAACAATGAGTCATCATTTGGTCACCAGCGACAATTTTAGCAATTTTTAATAGTTTGTGTGTAGTAAACTTTGTATAAACTTTATTACAATGGTGATAAGAAAGAGCCAGGAGTTACGTTTCATGGGTAAATAAACAGTCCACTCCAACTTTTTAGCGTTTTCTTATTGAATTCCGATAATTATTCTTCAATTTCAATTAACAACTATATGTACTTGATATGTGCTATACGTCGATACTAGTTTTGTACCTTTTGTTATAGTTATTAACGTAATAAGGCCGATAAACAACAAATAACGGCCGGGCTGAAGTTTGTGATCCGAGGCGATAGCCGAGGATCATAAGCAGCCAAGGCCGTTATTTGTTATCGGCCGTGTTGCGTTCTAGATTTTTCGTCATACTGCAGATTTTTTAGAGCAATAAACACTACTATTTAATAACAAATTTTATTGAACAATAACACAAGTAAGGATAAAAAATACATAATGTCTTATACTAAAATTCATTTTTCATGATAATGAACATGGAAATTAAAAGTGCACTTGTTGTTCTTAGAAATCTGTAATCCTTCCCAGGGATTTACAGATTTTATAGAAGAAGATGATGCTACTGAAGAATGGCAAATATTTGTATCCACTAAAGACACATTATTTTTGGAGCTATCATGAAAAAGTTGATTTGTTATTTTCATTCTTTTGGAAACTGATTTTTCTATGTAAGTTTCTGCCACTGTTGAAGACTCCCATCCTCCTAGCTCCTTTAGCGATAGTAAATCACCACCATTTTCGGCGAGCATGGTTGCTGATGATCTACGAAATGAATGCCCTGTATAACGTTCTGGATTCTCCAAGTTCAAAAATTTTGCAATTTTCTGCGGTACGCTCCCGATGGTATGTATACCGACGATTTGCTTAACACACTTGCCTTTCTTGTAACCAATGAAAAATTTTGGATTGTCAAAGTTACGAGGACGCAGGTTGATGTATTTTTGTATAAACCATAGGCATCAAACGGAAGGCCCGTTTTTGGAATAAGAAATTTCCTATCTTTCTTATTTTTAGTATTTCTTAATGAGACAAGAATATTTTTCTCCGAATCTTCGAAATCATCAACTGTGAGTGACCAAAGCTCGCTGCGCCTACAAGCTCCAAGAATACCAAGCACCAATACAATTTTTTCGAGTAACCAGGTGTAATCATCGGCATCCAGTAGAAAATTATTTATGTCATTCTCCGACAGAACTTTGGCTTTTTGGTGAATAACCTTCGTTTTGCGCCTCAGAAACATGAACAGTTTACCAAATCTATGAACAAATATAATTTAGATGAGTATGATTAAATATCGAAGAATATAATGGCTTTTTACCTTGATATGTCGATGTTTTCATATACTCTCAACGCAAGCTTCAGCATGGATATCTTGTCCACAGTGATGTAGGAGAATACATTTCAGACATTCTTTTAGCATAAGCCAGCAATACCGCTTCATTTACGCTGTTTATACTTCTATCCTGCCGCCACTTCAAAAAATTGTCATATTCCTGCTGATATCTCTCTCTGGTTATAGTCGGAAGTATAATTTTGAGTAGCCGCAGCCGCTTCCTCCTGTATTTCCAACGGAATTTCTCGCGACATCTCGCTATGGTCTATTTTCCCAATTTTTGAAAAGTCCAACTGACAATAAATAGTCATTGTTGCAGGTGACAGACGTTACGATTACCTTAGAAACTTAACGGCCGCCGGCCGTTATGATAACGTCCGGCGGACGTTATATGCATCTTTTCCATTCTGATTTTGCTTATGTTATAATAATATAACAATATAGTATGACGAAAACATTTTAATACGTTTTTTTCGTAATTAATTAGGATGCTACACCATAGGCGTAGTCAAAACAATTATCAAAAAATATAAATATTGCTTCAAACAGCTAGGTTAAGAAAAATATGTGCCACGGCACTGTTTGGTGACATCGTCACAATTTGCTCTCGGGTGTTATTTGTTCTTGGATTCTTTAGTCATTGCGTCAGTGACTTTTCCTAAAACATTATTTTTCTGTCAGAACCAGATACCTTGGTTAATTTATTAAGAGGGAAATGAACTTGCCAACCAGGGGCGGATACAGGAATTTATTTTAAGGGGGCGAAAATAAAAAGTAATGTAAAATATGCTTTTTAGGGCGCCATTTTTAACCCAAAAGCCTAAGATTTAACACAATTTAGAGATTTTAGGGGGGACCCGGGCTCCATGCCCCCCCTCTGTATCCGCCATTGTTGCCAACAACAATTTGCAATCATTACTTTATGGTATTATTATTTAATATCACGGGGTGACTTTGGGGATTATTGTGATACTGATTAGAACTCTATATTAAAATTTAAAAAACGTAAAAATGTAACGATACTTGGGCTTGGTTTTAATAAATATTTGTAACACTAAAAGAAGTAAGGATATTAAAAAATAACTGTAATAACTAAGTATACAAACAAAAAACTTGTAAAAAATACTCTAATACTTAGTATTGCCTCCCCCGGCTGCTATAACAGTCTCTAGACGTCAGTTCATAATATTAATGTTATGTTTTCGCATTCTTCTTCAAGGACCAAGCAAATATTCATAATTTCGACCATCTTCAACAAAATCAATGACTTTTGCACCATCTTCGACACTAAGAACCATATTCAATGGTACCTATACACAACAATAATCACCAAAGCCACCTCGTCATTATGAAGAATAACATCAAAAAGCAACGATAATTGAAAAAATTGCAAAATTTTTGTGGCAAAAGTTCATTTTGTTCTTAAAAATTAACCAAGGCATATGTTGACATGAGTCTAAAAGCAAAATATTCAGAAGATATGGTTCTCAAGGTAGGGTAAAAACAACTCTTCGATTAACCCTCTGTATAACAAGTCAAATACTAAAGTTTATAATAAACTGAGTTTACCAATTAAAGTTATTTATATACAGCTTGATAAAAAAATCATGAAAGTTGGGCTAACAATAAAAAAAATATAAAATTTTGGAACTTTAAATTTGTTTGCATCCGAGTGATTAGAATAATACAGAATTAATTCAATCTATTAAAGACAAAAAACGAATAAAAACAAACTTACTTTTTCTGTTCTGATATACTGGCCACATTACTGGTCGTTTTTTCGTCCGAAGTAAACATTATCATGGTACACCACCAAACCGCTATGTAGGTACTTAATAGTTTCTTGTCGCTTCGTACACACTAACTAACACACTAGTCTGTCGGTGCTGTTATCAAAAAACCTGCTGATAATCGGCGATTAGAAGGAATTGTCTTTGAACTGTCGGAATGCACTTTATCGAAATCACTTTAGCGATGATGGTGACGAAAGTGCGTTTAAATTGGGTAAAACGTCTATGGCGGACCGAGGAGTTGGAGGCCTTAGGGGACCTCACCGCTCTAATTTATCTATTAAACTCAATTAGTAAGTGTACAACGTAGGTAGATTTATTTAAAGTATATATAGGGTGACAGTGTTAAAAAATCTCTATTACAGGTGGTCAATTTTATTTGTTTTATGAAATTTTACTCCTGTTTATTTTATTAAGAAAAAATATAGAAAATTGCGCACATTTTAAAAGTGTTTTCATAGATATACAAGGTGATCCACATATATTTTTACATTAACGTTTTAAAATTATATCGAGGGGTAAACCGCAGAGGGAAAAGTGTACACCGTAATTCCTTTTACTCAAATAATTCCTCAGAATTCCTCGTAATTCCTTCGGAATTCCTTGGAATTCCTGGTCTTTAAGATCAAGGTCAATCATTCAAGGTCTTCCTTGGATTTCCTTGGTACGAACTCGGTAACTCTTTCAGTCTGAACCAGCGTTGCCACCTCGGTTTCGCAGTTCCGCTATGAATTTTCTGGTGATTTTTATAAATGTCTAATGTCTCTATAAGTACTAGATCTAACAATAAAAAGTACTATTACGAGATTTACGTTTTTTTAGTTAAATTTTAGTACCAATAGGGGATCATGAGGTAAAAATACTGGAAATATGTCGGCACTTACTTATTAAAATTAATTTTTCTCGGGATTTTTTGAAAATGAGAGGTACCTAGTTATACTCGTATCTATAGGAAAGGAAATTAATAAAACTTCAGTTGCACGTCATAATACGATCACCAGTAAATTCCATAAGATTACGCATGGTATCATTGATGAAGTGCACCTAAAGTTGTATTAATTTCCCTATAGTATATACCTAGGTATTATTCCGAGGAAATGAAAAAATCAACTTTACACTTTCTGAGTACTGAATAAAAAAATCTTATGAGAGTTTCTTTAAAATGGCGAAATCAGGGAACGTTATAAGTAGATCTCTCGGGGGTGGTTCGGCCGTACTATTGGAAGATATTTTAGATATATAATCGAGGGTACAATATTAAATTAAAAGAATATCTAACCTGTAGATATTCGATATTGGGAAATTTTGGAAGCGAAAAAAACCTACCTACTATAGTATTCATGGTTTACTAATGTTCGTTAATTTTTTATAAAGTTGCTTGTAATTCCTCTTAATTCCTGTGGAATTCCTCTAAATTTCTAAGGAATTCCTTGGAATTCATTGGAATTCTTACGGAAATAATTGGAATTCCTAGTAATTTCTATGGAATTCCTTGGAATTCCTCGTAATTCCTTGGAATTCCTGTAGAATTCCTTCATAGTGTACACCATAATTCCTCTGCGGTTTACCCCTCGAATTATATGCTGTAATACCGGGTACGTCTCAAAAGTGGTTCACCCCTTTATTTTTATTAAAAAAACGAGATTTGGTATGTTACTATATGACATAAATTAGGAATAATTGACGTATTCAGTTGTTTTCAGTCACTTCCTGTTTTACCGGAAATGAGTACAACTTTTGATTTTTAAATGGCATCCTCGGTGTTTTTTTTACTTTATTCGATAGAAAATCGTATATTAAATTTGAATCTAGAGTGTGGACTGTGTTAAAATCACTAATTTTTAATCAAGGAACCTTGGGAAAATAAATTTGATCATCTAATGTTTTTCGTGTCTTGTCCTGGCCGGTTAAAAGATGCCAAAATTGTTTTTTAATGATATCTCAATTTTTTCAAATGTAACGAGGGTGGCTCATTATAGCATATCTGGAAAAAACATCTTTTTACGAATAATTTGGTACCACACACTTGGTATTTCGAGTCAAATTGTCGTTATAAACTGCATGTTACAATTTCAAATAAAAATAAACCATATACAAAAATCTCTCAAAAGTTGACATAATATGATATGTCATTCTATTCAGTGTCGTATCGAGTGTCATTTTCAATCGAATAAAGTAAAAAAATGCCGAGGATTCTATTTAAAAATCAGAACTTGTAGTCATTTCCGGAAAGTGACTACAACGACCGAAAACAATTGACTACAGAAGTGACCGAAAACAATTGAATACGTCAATCAATCCTAATTTTTGTCATATACAAACATACCAAATTTCGTTTTTTTTTCTGAAAAAAATAAGTTATAGGGGTGAGCCACTTTTGAGACGAACCCGGTATATTTACTACTCAATAAATTTACTCAATAAATTTGCCATTATTTGGTTTATTTTATAATTGTTGTGTCTTCTGCAAAACTAATCAAATGAATATAGAAATGTTTAAATTGTTTGCTATTTGCTATGTATACAGGGTGTCCCTCACGTAAAAACTAAGATTTATTTCTAATATTTCTATATCATCATAGGTCAAAAATAATTTTTCTTTGTTTCTGTAACTATGCAACAATGTGTAGCCCGTTTAATGTCGATTAAAATTTGTATCTTGGTATTTTGTCGATTGCGGTCTCCTTAAGATTTATCTTGATAAAATAAACGCCCTTTTCTTAAGAAATCCTTGATAAAATAAACGCCCTTTTCTTAAGAAAAATATGTCGCACTTATAGTAAGAAGTTTTACCAAAATCAAAATTTCATTCGAATAGCTAAAAGCACTTGGAAAAGAATTATAATAAATGGAAAAAAATTAATGATTTTAACTCTCTGTATATAGTATATAGTGTATAACTTGTATATAGTGTGACAGTATTACAAAAAAAAATATTATAGGTTTTTTTTTCTGTTTTCTGAAATGTTACACCCACTTGTTTTATAAAAAAATATGAGTAATTGCGCACATTTGAAAAATATTTTCATGGATATACAGAGTGATCCACATATATTTTTACGCTGAAGTTTTAAAATTATATATTGAACATCCTATCCGATTAAAAAAAACAGCGTCAAAGACGGCTGGAGAAAGACAATCGATAATAATTTTGGCGAGGTCAATCTCTAGACGTCATTTACTAAAAATTGACAAAAAACTTGTCAAAAATTAACACCAATAATTGTAGAGAGATTAAAAAAGGATAGAACGTTTCCAGAAACACAAATCTATTTTCAAAAAAAAATGTTTAACTAGGTACCTATACACCATTTAAAAATCATTTTTACTCAATATAAAAATAAATTACAACATTCTTAAAGAAAAGTACAGGCTAAGTAAATGACGTCTAGGGCGCTTGACGTCGCCAAAATTATCATCGATTGATTCCCTAGCCGTTTTTTTTGGATCGTATGGTATTTCAAAATAATAATTTTTACTCTTAATATTCCTTTAAACTTATTTTTGTTTGTGTCAATTTGTATTATTTGAACGTTTATAAATATTATTTTTTTAAATGTTTTTACCCTTGAATCGACTCTATAACAATCCGAAACCTATTCTAAAGGTCCCTCTGAGGTCTCTCTGACGCCTTTTTTCTATCTACGGTAACTCCTAACAGAATTTAGTACATTGCTATTTTCTAGGTGCAAGTATGTTGTATAAACCTACTCCTAATTCAACCCCTACGTTCCGAATATACTTATGGTTTCATCAAGGTGCCTCATCTTCAAAATGACCATGACAATGACAACTTCATAGAGAACGAAATGGTGTACTCACCGAACTCTGCAGATGGTGGCGACAGAGACATCAACAGCAACTACGATTTTTCTATAACGGACGAAGATATTTTGGATGACGACAGTGTTAACAAAGTTTCCAGGCAGATATCATCAAATTTTGAGAATGTTATCGATCCAAGTTTTTTTAGAAAGAAGGTACAACATTATTTTTGTGTGATACATTATTATTATAATAGTATATTGTTTTATTAGGAGTAAAAATTATACTTTTTGTGGCAACGCTGTATGTTTACTGCCGAGGCGCGAAAAGTCATTTTTACTCTGAATAGAACATGCTATTTTTCCAAACGCCATGAGCCACAAATATTTTTTTAGACAATTTCAAACGCTCCAAATATTATAAAAATATTTAAAAATAATAACTTGTAAGTAATTATACAGGGTGAGTCGTAAATAAGTGCAAATAATATTTTCAGGGCTGGTAGATCTCGATAAAAGAAATATATGTATTTTCTCCTTTACCGTGTTTCAAATAAATCCAATATAACCGAATTATTTTACTTTGAAAATGTCCAAAAAAAATATTTTTTGCTAAAATTTTGAGAACCGCTGGATCTTTTCTGGATTTTCTTTCATGTAAATTTCATCTACTACCTATGTTGCCATATTATCAACAAATTATGTTTTTTGATTAAAAGCTAAAAATAATCAAAAAATGTTTTCAAGAATTCCATATTTTTAACATTTTTTTTTCTCAAAAAACCTCATAATCGTGTTTCTTTTATCGAGATCTACCAGCCCTAAAAATATTTGCTCTTATTTAAGACCCACTCTGAATATCGAGAAACTATGGTTACTCTCGTTGAATTTGACACTTTATGTCTATCTATGATGTCAATTATTTAATAATATATTTTCGTACTTTTGTGCTTAGGCGTTAAAATGACTTTTTATATTGTCAGTCACGTCACAAAAATTAATACTTTTGTGACGTTTGAAAAATAATATATTTTTTTCCATGGCAACTGTTAAAATTGCCTTATAATCTATCAAAAATAGTAGATAAAATAGAACTTCAACCGCAAGGGTAGATTAAATGATACTTTAACAGCGAGGATAGGTTCGAAACTTTATTTCTTCTAGCACGTTTTTTAATTGCTTCCATTTTCGAAAATTTTTATATTCCTTTTCATAAGTTATTCGGGATTTAAATGGAAGTAGTTTGGATATGGCGTTTGTCGCCTCAGCCTGAATATCTGTTGGTAATTTACTTATTTCGTTTGGAGCCATTTCTAGCTCCAATTCAATCAGCAATCGACACGAAAGAGAATTAAAAAATATTGACTCAAAACTGACAACTAATGAGACAGCTTTATTTATTTGTCAAATTACATATTGAAACCATGCAACGCCAACCCAGCACAATATTTTTTCTACTCGTAATAAATTCCTTGAAATAATATAATTTCTGTATATTTTTTAAAACGTAACTCGCTAATGGAAAAAAATAGTTTTATACACGACGATAAAATTGCATTATCGTCTGCCGAAATTAATTCACTCGCGATTTCATCGCTCGTGAATTAATCTTTCCGGTCGACGATAAAATACCATTTCATCGTCTTGTATAAAAAATAACTATTATTAGGAGTAAAAATAAAAACTCACTTTTTCTGGTGAGTCTGTACGTTTGACGTTACGCTCGTTGAATTTGACACATTATGTCACTTTAATAATATATTTTCATACTCTTATGGTTAGGCGTAAAAGTGACTTGCTTTTATATGCCTAGGCGTTAAAATTACTTTTTTATATTATCAATCACGTCGCAAAAATTAATTATTCTTTTGTGACGTTTTAAAAAGACTTTTTTGTAGAAAAACCAGATCCTTTGTCGGGTACAAAAAACTTTCCACCATCATAACGAAGCCGGATACGAATTCTTCCCCAAATCTTACACAAGTTACACTTGTCAACCTGCTACTACAACAAATATAGACCCTACAGCTATAGCTAGTCACGTAAGTTTTAATTATTAACATAGATATAGTCTATAAAATGAATAACTCTGAATTTTGACCGTTATTTTTTACCAACATGGCAAATATAAAATCCCTCTGTCAAAAAAGTTACTGATATTCTTTAAATTGAGTGCCTGAACGAATCAGATAGGTAACTCTTTTTACTTTCGTGAAATAGAAAAGGAAAATAATAAAACAAGTGACAGTTCTTCCTCTTCTTGCAAAAATCAACACGAAATGTCATAATTGACAAAAGTAAAATGTCATCAGCTTTTGACATTTCTAAATATTAGACCAATGCCGTCTCTAATAGAACAGTCACGGAGCGAGATTTATGACGTCACGCTAGTTAGATACTACGGATTAATAAATATGTTGTAGAATACATGGAAAACATAATTATTCCTCGTATTTTTGGTTTGTATTTTAAAAATGATAGTTTACATGAAATATACATAATATACAGTTAATAAATACAATATAATATATACCTATTTATAGTAATAAATACTTTGGCAAATAAACTATGAACCATACAATAGCAGCAAATGTTTTACAATATACAAATAATGAATAGTTGGTGCATAAGATAATGGGTAAAATGTAAAATATATTTTAAATTTTGGGGTTTGAAAATCGATTTAATTTAACAAAGAACATTCAATATCTACTAATAGTGTATTATTATTTGCAATCACAAAATTTATTTATATATTATAATGTTTACTGCAATTAATAAACTAATATAAACTTGTCAAAAGATGACCACATATTTTTTTAAATTATTATTCTTAACACAAAAACTATCTACATTGACTATGGAGTACGATTTCAGCCATATTGTAAAACATTTGCTGCATTTGTATGGTTTATAGTTTATCTGTCAAAATATTTATTAGTATAAATAGGTATATATATTGTATTTATTATCTGTATATTATGTATATTTCATGTAAACTATATCATTTTTAAAATACAAACCAAAAATACGAGGAATAATTATGTTTTCCATGTATTCTACAACATATTTATTAATCCGTAGTATCTAACTAGCGTGACTATGGAGTACGATTTCATCCATATTGTAAAACATTTGCTGTATTTGTATGGTTTATAGTTTATCTGTCAAAATATTTATTAGTATAAATAGGTATATATATTGTATTTATTATCTGTATATTATGTATATTTCATGTAAACTATATCATTTTTAAAATAAAAACCAAAAATACGAGGAATAATTATGTTTTCCATGTATTCTACAACCTATTTATTAATCCGTAGTATCTAACTAGCGTGACGTCATAAATCTCGCTCTGTGGCTGTTCTATTAGAGACGGCATTGCGTCAGCATGGCCGCAAGTTGAATACCTAATAAAATTAACACTAGAAAAGCCCGCGGGAACTGTCAAATTCAAAGTTATTCGTTTTACAGACTATAGCTATAGTCTGTCCACTGAATAAGCACATATGACAGAGACACAAAAATGACAGCTGACAGCTGATAACTGTCAAGGTATAAATTGTTTTATTTGCCTCTACTTTCACTCGACAGACTTTACTTAGTAGTTTTGCTATATGAATATCCTAAATCATTTTTTTAATAAAATTTTACATGTCTGTGTCTATCTATTTTAGGATAGTTGTTTTATAACAGGGAACAATTGCATTACGCTAGAGAAGGAGCAGTTATTTTTAAAAAGAAAACATAACAGTCAGTGTTGGTCCCATTTTGTTGAAGTGGTTGGTGCGGGCTGTAAATGCCTTGCCAGAAGATACTAATAATTACTTAATACATTCATTTATTATGACTAAAACCAATTAAAATATATTTAACCAATATATATTTGCTAAGGCTATTAATTAGTTTTAATTTTAATTTTCAGTACTGTATCTAAAATAAGTTTATAAAACAAACATCCTAAAAATTCATTAATATTTTCACAGCTTCCCGAATTCACTAGATCTTCTAATTAAAGTTCAAATTTTGTAATAGTGTTGTTTAGATTATGCACCGATGATGTCGTGTTTATGTTAATTATAATTATTTCTATTTTTGATGTAAATTTGACTGATAAAAATAATATTTTTTCTTTTAGGATGTTTGTTTTGTTAGATCGAATGTCTGTACCACTTTGCAAATGAAACGATTCTTCCTCAGACGAAACACTACCAACACTTGTTGGTCAGACTTGGTTTCAATGGAAGTTAATTCGGGATGCAATTGCCTATACCAATATAAATATCGAATTCATATTTAGACTGTAGTAACAAATGTTATATTATATACTTTATTTTATATATGATTACCAAATGTATACACTTAATGATTAAAGAATTAAAATTATTGTTTGTAATTTTTTTTCGTTCTGTTCCGAAAATTCAAAACACAACTTTTGAATTTTCCCACATTCAAAAACAATACAGAAATCTGTAATAAATGAACTAAAAAGATGAGAGCCATCTATATTGGAGAAGCTAAACCATACATTCTCTAGGTTCCTACTTTTTTAAATAAATTCGCCATAGATTAGAAAATATCTGACGTTGACTTTTGTTGACATTTACAGACGGAATGAAAGGTTTGCTAAATTTGCGGTTTGGCGTGTTTTTTTCTGACGAAATTTCGTTTTACATTATTAAAATAAATACCGACTGTTATTACATGGAAGGTAAAAATCGAGGATAACAAAGTGTACCATTTTTCCAGTTACAATGGGTATGTCATTTCTTAATATATTAGATAAGTATTTTAAACTTTATTTTGTTAGGTTATTTCATACACAAAAATACACAAGCATTCTTTGCTATTAGAAATAAGTTAAATTTGAATATAGCATCAATTAACTGTAATCTTATTGTTCATTTTCTGTAATTAATTCAATTGGTGATAAGCTGTTACTGTGTTAAACCATACGTATGTTGTATTGAAAACTAGTATGAAAATATTTGAGCATAATCGTTTTTAAGTGTATTACATGCGTATATTTTGTTTTGCGTAATTTTTTAATACATTTTCTCTAATTCTTTAATGTCTGGTGATACCTGTTACTAATTAAAGCATTTAATAGGTGTTGTATTTCTGTTAACCTTGGTTTCTTATTATAAAACTGGGCAATAATGGATAGCTATACTTTCATTTCAACAATTGTATATATTTGTCAACTAGTAATAATTATAGATTAAACCCTCTTATACCACCTATTAGAAATTGTTGTCATATTCAAAATTTAATGGGTAATGAAATTATAGGTATTTTTATATACACGAAAAAATATGTTCGTAATATAAGTTGGTATTTCCTTCCCATATTATTCCTTAGATCAATTACATTCAGTTATTGGAACACAATAGCTGGTGTCTGTGACAGAGCTATTATTAATTTAAGTATATTTTTGTTGAAGTATAAAAATAGATACTGTTGCTTAATATATGTCTGTTGCATTATGTTAAGAAAATTTATGAAACATTATATCAAACAAGATATCATCAGAGATTTTGGAAAAAAGAAATATAATTTTGGAGACAATTTAACCCGTTGACATACTTCTATCACTCTATCTACTGCATCTATCTATTTTGGCCTACTCATGGCCTACTATATTTTCCAAGGACTTATTTTTAGTAATCGTGTTTATTCAAGTTAAAATTGCAATGTGCTAACGATATCCTAATATTTATTTTATAATTCCAAGAATATTGAGATAACCGGAATTTATGAATAATATTATCTCCCGCCTATAGCATGTAATAAACGTATTTGTTTACCGTAATTGAATTTTTTTCTTTCCAAATTAATTTCAATATTACCAAATATTGGCTGATTTCGACTTTATATCTGTCTGGTATGAGAGGATTAATGAGAAGATAGACTATCTTAGCAAGGATAGGTACTAATCTACTCAGGATATGCCTTATCATTTTTTAATTAAATGTAATGTACATAAACACGTACTACCTCGCTGCTGGGGTCTAACAAAAAGTCTATATAGTGTGGGGTAATAAAACTGATATTTTTTGTTTATAATTTTTACATTTCGAAAGAAATATTTTTAAAAAATTATATTGGATATTGTGAAATATTAACGACGCTTTTTGAGAACGTCTCCATAGGTACTTTAAATGCTTAAAAACGCTCCTAGTAATTAAGTAATTTTGATTATTTTTGATAAAAGCTGTCTAACTATTATCTAGAAAAAATTAAGTTAAAAATAATATTTGAAATCCATGGTGACAGCCTTTTCATTAAGTTCAGAAATTTTACCTATTATAAATATTTGATGTAAGTGTTTTGTTAAATAAAAAGCCTGTATGAAATTTGTCTAAGTGGGTTTAAAATCTACTGATTTTTTACATAAGATTGAAGCAGTGTGTACAGGGTGGGTCAAATTGGACGCTTTTAAAGGGAAACACCCTTTTCTGTAGGAGATAGACGAAAACTAATATCGGTGTCTGGAGCTCAATTTTCATCAAAAACATGATGGTGAAAACTGCACATCGATATCTGTTACCGTTTCGAAGTTACGGTTTTTTTTTCAAAAATGTGTATTTTTAACAAATCGCTTTAACTTTTTTGCTATGGAAAATTTTGTATTTCTATGAAAACATTTCCAAAGCATCTTTTTACGTAGAATTTAATGGTTTAAGTATAATTTTTTTAAAATTAATAATTTAAGAGTTATCTACAGAAAAATTGATTTTTTATTTGGGACGCCCTGTATATTTTTAATTAACTGAAAAGAACTTAAAATTACCTTTCCAAAAATATAGCACACTTGATATTTTGGTATAATCCCCTTCGAAATACAGAATTTTTAAAAATTCGCCACTTTTAACTAGTAGGCTTTGGACTCCTTATTGATGATATGTCATTAATGAAACTCGAAAACATATTTTTCCAGCAATACGAGGCACCGCCTCAGAACGTTGAAGATGTCAGCAAATTTTTGCAGCCAATTTCGAGAATAATTGAATAGCTAACAAAGATACCAGCCGTCTGCCGTCGAGGCCGCCGGACTTAATGCCTCTATGATCTAATCCTATGGACATCTTTGCGGAAGAATAAAGGTCCTTATTTTTAAGTTGCCCGTATAATGTAGATAAGAATTAGAAATACTTAGCAGTTATGAGAGGGTATCTTTTACCCCTACTGAGTTAATGAATTCCGCGAGAAATGTTGAGAAACGGCCCCGTCTGTCCATAACAGAAAACGGTTGATATGTCGAACACCTGTAGCAAAATTTCATGTCTTGGTTTGTTTTTTGCTTTTATTGTTATTAGATATAGTTTAAGTGTGTTGATATTGGTTAAATATAGTTCAAATTGTTATAAAGTTTGCTTACAGCTAGAATTTTTTGCATTACATCCGGCGGCGGCGCCGTTCAAAGCCTACTTATTTAAAGTGGACGAATTTTTATAAACTCTATATCTTGAAGAGGAATCGAGCAAAATATCAAGTGTGCTATATTTTTGGAAAGGTAATTTTAAATTATTTTCAATAAATTAAAAATATACAGGGTGTCCCATATAAAAAATTAAATTTTCTGTTGATAACTCTTAAATTACTAACTTTAAAAAAATTATACTTAAACCATTAAATTCTACGTAAAAAGTGCTTTGGAAATGTTTGTATAAAAATACAAAATTTTTCATAGCAAAAAAGTTACAGCCATTTGTTAAAAATGCACATTTTTGAAAAACACCCCGTAACTCCGAAACGGTAACAAATATCGATATGCGGTTTTCACCATCATGTTTTTGACAAAAATTGAGCTCCAGACACCGATATTAGTTTTCGTCTATCTCCTATAGAAAAGGATGTTTCCACCTGTAAAAGCGTCGAATTTGACCCACCCTGTACAGGGTGTTCAAAGAGATTATTGCTATTCTTGCAAACTTACCTATTGGAGTTTACCCTATATTCATGTTTGGTTTAATGTATGCAATCACACAAAATATAGATAAAGGTTACAGTGGCGGATACAGAGGGGGGCCCATGGGGCCCGGCCCCCCCCCCTAAAATCTATAAATAGCGTTAAATATTAGGCTTTTGTGTTAAAAATAGCGCCCTAAATAGCATATTCTTCATTACTTTTTATCTGGGCCCCCCTTAAATAAATTTCTGTATCCGCCCCTGAAAGGTTATTATTTATTTGAAGGGTAAACGGACGATGTAAACCGACGATGTCCATTTTATAGGAATTTTTGAATATAACAAACGATATCCAAATAATAACGCATACAGTAATATTTTTTGTATCTTTAATGCCGGGTCCAGACCAAGCAGACAAAACAACGACAACGACAAGAAAAATTGCGACAAATCCAATGCATTTCTGCGACATTTTGTCTCGCTTTTGTTTTGTTTCAAAATTCGGAGACTTTTTTCAATGTCCCGTCTCGAGTCGGTAAAGATCAAAGTGTCTATGTTTTGTTCGCATATTTTACGACAAGTTGTCGGCGCAGTGTGGATGGTGTGTGCTGCCAACAGTAGGAGACCAGTGAAATTACACATGGTTAACAAAACTCATTCTTATATAATCTTAGTTATGTTTTTTTTTGTATAATCTGATAAAAGTAGTAATTATAACATTTTCTGAACTTAAATATTATTATTTCTCCAAGTAACTGTATAATATTTGTTTAACAAAGTAAATATTTAAAGAACGCGTTACCTAGAAGCCCTTAATACCACTAAATACTCGTCTGGCTCAATGCTAAATTCCTTTTATTGTTACATCTGTGATTACAGACTTCCTTCCCACTAATCGCTAACAAAAAAATGATCAATGTGACATGAGCCTGAGACCAGAAGAGCCTCGAAATCGAGGCTCAACAAATAAATCTCCGATACAGGACAAAGTCGAGACGATCTTCTACAGTTGGGGTTTGCTATGCAGCAGTCATCCAGTTTCGGTCTTGGTGTTCGTCAGCGTCATCATTCTCAGTTGCTGGTAAGTGTTTTCTATTTTATTTCTCTCATTTTTGAAGTGAAAGTTCTTTATGCGCGCTGGGAGTAGAAGGCCGTGACACATTCAAGGTCGTGACACGCGAGCTAGCGGACAAAAAGTAGTAATTATCGAAAAAGTAGTAAGCCAATGAAGAAGTTGCGATGGGTATAGACACATATGACTGTATGTCACAATACATGATTAGGACCGTTTGACACGGGACAATATTCCAGCCTAAATTGTATACAATTTGTTGCGCGCGCATTTTTAGTCAAATTGCATGCAATAAAATAGAACATGTTCTAAATTCTTGCATGCAATTAGCTGAACATGCGCAATACATAATTTAATTTCTCTGATTTTGTAAGGTTATATGTTTATATTACATTTGTTTGTTAAGTTAACTGTTTATGTTTGCTCTGTTCGATTGTGAGGCTTTAACTGACTGTAATTAGTAAGTAAGTTAAATCAACTTAACAAACAAATGTAACATAAACATAACCTTACAAAATCAGAGAAATGAAATTATGCATTGCGCATGTTCAGCTAATTAATTGCATGCAAGAATTTAGAACATGTTCTATTTTATTGCATGCAATTTGACTAAAAATGCGCGCGCAACAAATTGTATACAATTTAGGCTGGAATATTGTCCCGTGTCAAACGGTCCTAGTCGATAGATTGGACTTAGGCCAACTTGGCCGTGTACGACACGTGTCACTGTGACAGTTAGTTTTGACGTAAGAAACGTCAAAAGTTGATATCGTCCGATCGAGACCAAATTTGGTGGGTAGGCTATGTGAGCGACGGTGCACGGATTTTTCTTAATTATGGGTCGATTCGAACCAAACTTGGCACGTGGATAGAGGTACCCGAATAGAGTCCTCAGACGGACAGACAGAGAGACGTACAGACGAAAGTAAGAAGAAGTTTCACTTCAAATATGCGGACAAAATCACACACAATTTTTTTTGTTACAACCTTTAAGTTTCCTACCATAAAAATTGTTGCTTTTCTCGTGCTTTCCATTATGCAGTATGACTAATAAAAAACCAAATAAGAGCATTTCTACGCTATACAAATGCATATCAGAGCAGGTTTAAATCAATCCTTACATAACGAGTACTGCCGAGTCACTCGATAAAAACTGCCTGGAATAACAATAATAAATCCACTTAAGTTTCACAATTATATATAAACAATATATGAATTTGCATGTACACACAGCATTAGTAAGCAAATTATATCAGATTAATGCAGTTTAAAATTAATTCTATGTCAAGGTTACACTTGAAAGTAAAAAATGTAGATCAGACTGACTGCTCGTTATTTTCTTTACATAAAATATTTATTGATCCTAATAATATTAGGTATATTAAGAAAAATTGCGTGTGCACTATGTGCGCATATTTGAAGTGACACTTCTTACTAACAGCTATTAAATTAAAGTGTTTGAAGGACACGTTTGAAATGTTGAAAAAGTAATAAATTAAAATAATTGAAAAAAATTTGATTTACTTTCACAAAATTTGTATTAAAAGTGTCTGAGGATTCCATTCGGGTACCTCTATCCACGTTTCGAGTTTGGTTCCAATCGACCCACAATTAAGAAAAATACTGATGATTTCGTTCATTTAGAGGCATCGATTCGAAACGTCGAGGGCGTCATCCTAGTTGAAGCTCGAGCTTCACTACAAACCGTAAAAATAACCAGTTAGACTCCACCGTTAGACTCCCAGACCGGTATAACCCTTTAATTAATGATTTTTAATATTTGCTGCCCTAATAAAAATACACATCAAAGTTTGTATTCAAATCAAATATTACATTGGAATAGGGATACTGAGACAACCACGTTATAATTAAATATATCGCTAGAAACCAACCGCAACTTTATCATCATTGAATACTATCCATCAATGGAATCAAAATGGCATTTTTTAAACTAAAATAAGAATTATTTTGTGGTTTTACCTTGTGCAAACATAACATATATTTCGGCTTAGTCATTCTATATCGGGGATCTGAATTTTAATGAGTAAGACAAAGATAAGGGTAGTTATAACCAGTTGCTAGACAGAGACATAAAGAAATGCAGGATTGCCGGTTCCAACGTACGGTAGGTCTACATAGGTTAAAGATTACCGAGGTAGAAATAAAAACTTAAGTGACTATACCAAAAAATATATGAATTATTTTCACTGAGAGATCGCTCTAATTATATTTAAGTATGTCATAGTTGTCATTGTTTAAATAAATCAATGAAATTGCATAAAACCAACGACGGACGACGCATTACGGATGTTGTTTTAAACCCACACTTACTCTAATATTATTTAAGTATATAGGTTTTAAAGTATTGTTGTATGATAATATTGGGAATTGTTTTTAGCATGCCCTTGATTAATATCCCACTTCCGTTGACGTCACCGCAGCAAGAATGGGTGTCATCGATAAACGAAACCAGCGCTCTGGAGCCCTACTGCTACGTTCAACAGGTCGTGTTGAAAGTGGCCGTTTTGCCTTGGCAGCTAGATTTAAATTTAGGTGACGCCTTCAGGGCCCCTCTGTATGAGGCCTTTAAACTGTTGGATATAGTACGAAATTACGAAGATAAGCATAGGTAAGATCATAAGATCAAGTTTTAGTCATTATTTACTAGAATTTAACTTTGAGATGTTTTTAAAATCAGTGCCACCCCATTTTACTGAGTCCATCTCAGTGGAGTCAATCAAAGCAGGGTAGGCAAAATTATTAATAAATAATAGATATTGGTTAATTAAATAATAAATACATTTTTTTTTTTACTCTAAATTGGGGGAGAAGTCACCAGAGTTGGCATCACTGCGCAGCCCCAACAGCTGATACCGACGAAATTAAATCAGGCAACACTTTCATATTCTGTCTTTTTTTTACACACTGTGACATCTTCGATTAGGCCTTAGGAAAAAATTATCTATATGCGCGATAACGCAGTAGTCGACAATTATGGATAATATCTTACCTAACCTTTAGAATAAAAAATAAGCGCATTTAACTTATCTATTTAACTTTAAGGAAAAATAAGTTTGTAAGGCTAAATGCAAATAAATTTACTCATGATTCTTAGTTAATTTTTATTATATATTCTTTATAATATTTTAGTGCGAGAACTTTAGGACATGTATGTCTTCACATCGAGGCAGTAACCAAAAATCGAGCATACTCGCCAGTAATGCCTCAATACAGTTGCTTAGTATTATCACCAGCCAATTTCTGGCATCAGGACATTCAGCAGTTCAGTTCAGATAGTTCGATTTTAACAACTATATTTAACCATCATGTAAGAACTATAGTTCATACCAATTAAACTTTTACTCACGTGATTAAGCTCGACCGGCACAGCGTTGCCCACTTTTACATATTTTCTTTTAATCAAAATATTTTAGGGAACAAAAATAAATATAAATATATGTATAAGCAGTATAAACAGTTATTTACATATGATTACTACTACTATTCCGTTCAAAATATTCTAATAAGGTTGCGATAAGTTTTTGCAGCGCCTATAAAGTTATCTTGTACACTTCGCTCTAAAAGAGGTTCTAAAAAGAACAATGTTCGACTGCAAGGTCTGCTAGTAAAAATGTTTAAGCTTAAAGTATCACAACACAATTTATTTAAACCAAAAACCCGTAATACAAAACTAACGTTTCAAAACGAATGGCAATCTCAGGGAATAAATAAATAAATATGGCAACTTGACATTTTTTACAGCAGAGCTACCACCTTAATCCCCAGCGGGAAATTTAAATTCCAGTTAGTCAGCCTGGCGCCGAATATTGTCCATGTTTGGCAACAATGAATTTAAAAATCGCGCCCTCGATTACGTAACTAAAAGTTTAATTGGTATCGCTTATATATTGTTAATATTACTTTATTCTTGCTAATATTTAATGTATTTTAGAAATTCCACAAGGGTAAAATATCAGTGGCTGAAATGTTGTTTGGCATGACTTTGAGGGATACAGGAATTAAAAGATATCCTTTTAGGAATAGACAGAGGATTATACAGTTTGCCGTTAGTATGTTTTTTAAGGAATATGACAGAGGGTACTGTAAAATAACGTTGAAATAATAAATTGTTAGAATTGTGTCTTGTTTTTAGATTTATTGATGGTCTACGTGATAAACTGAAAGCTGCGTATCCTCTACATCAAAATACTAACGCATCTCTTGGTGCGTTATTAAATGATACACTTATAATTAACTATCCAGGGGAAATTAACTATATCGAACTGATTCCTATATTTACAGCGTTTATTTTGTTATATCTTTACTATTATTTTTGTGTGTGGAAAGTTGAAGAGATCAAATCTAAGGCAGGAATGTCCATCATTGCCACCATCACTGTTCTTTGTAGCTTACTTATGTCTATGGGCATATGTTTTCTGTTTGGTCTGACTGTCAATAACCAAAGAAGAAAATGGGTTTTTCCCTATCTGGCTATTTTATTTGGCCTGGAAAACGTTCTTGTACTCACTAAGAGTGTGCTATCAACTCCGTCACACTTAGACGCTAAAATTCGAATAGCTCAAGGCTTGAGCAAGGAAGGATGGTCAACTACCAAAAACTTATTAGTCGAAATAACAATTTTCACTTTCGGTTTGATCACGTTCGTTCCAGTAATTCAGGAATTCTGCATATTCGCCTTGGTCAGTTTGACTACCGGATTATTTCTACAAATATTCTTTTTCGTAACCGTCCTAGGTATCGATCTCAATAGAGCTAGTAACTCGATAGAAGTTGATATCATCCGATCAGAGACCAAATTTGGTGGGTAGGCTATGTGAGCGGCGGTGCACAGGATACTCTTAATTATGGGTCGATTCGAACCAAACCCGGCACGTAGATACAGGTACCCGAATAGAGTCCTCAGACGGACAGACAGAGAGACGTACAGACGAAAGTAAGAAGAAGTTTCACTTCAAATATGCGGACAAAATGCACACACAATTTTTTTTGTTACAACCTTTAAGTTTCGTACCATAAAAATTGTTGCTTTTCTCGTGCTTTCCATTATGCAGTATGACTAATAAAAAACCAAATAAGAGCATTTCTACGCTATACAAATGCATATCAGAGCAGGTTTAAATCAATCCTTACATAACGAGTACTGCCGAGTCACTCAATAAAAACTGCCTGGAATAACAATAATAAATCCACTTAAGTTTCACAATTATATATAAACAATATATGAATTTGCATGTACACACAGCATTAGTAAGCAAATTATATCAGATTAATGCAGTTTAAAATTAATTCTATGTCAAGGTTACACTTGAAAGTAAAAAATGTAAATCGGACTGACTGCTCGTTATTTTCTTTACATAAGATATTTATTGATCCTAATAATATTAGGTATATTAAGAAAAATTGCGTGTGCACTATGTGCGCATATTTGAAGTGACACTTCTTACTAACAGCTATTAAATTAAAGTGTTTGAAGGACATGTTTGAAATGTTGAAAAAGTAATAAATTAATAATTGAAAAAAATTTGATTCACTTTCACAAAATTTGTATTAAAAGTGTCTGAGGATTCCATTCGGGTACCTCTATCCACGTTTCGAGTTTGGTTCCAATCGACCCATAATTAAGAAAAATACTGATGATTTCGTTCATTTAGAGGCATCGATTCGAAACGTCGAGGGCGTCATCCTAGTTGAAGCTCGAGTTTCACTACAAACAGTAAAAATAACCAGTTAGACTCCACCGTTAGACTCCCAGACCGGTATAACCCTTTAATTAATGATTTTTAATATTTGCTGCCCTAATAAAAATACACATCAAAGTTTGTATTCAAATCAAATATTACATTGGAATAGGGATACTGAGACAACCACGTTATAATTAAATATATCGCTAGAAACCAACCGCAACTTTATCATCATTGAATACTATCCATCAATGGAATCAAAATGGATTTTTTAAACTAAAATAAGAATTATTTTGTGGTTTTACCTTGTGCAAACATAACATATATTTCGGCTTAGTCATTCTATATCGGGGATCTGAATTTTAATGAGTAAGACAAAGATAAGGGTAGTTATAACCAGTTGCTAGACAGAGACACAAAGAAATGCAGGATTGCCGGTTCCAACGTGCGGTAGGTCTACATAGGTTAAAGATTACCGAGGTAGAAATAAAAACTTAAGTGACTATACCAAAAAAATATATGAATTATTTTCACTGAGAGATCGCACTAATTATATTTAAGTATGTCATAGTTGTCATTGTTTAAATAAATCAATGAAATTGCATAAAACCAACGACGGACGACGCATTACGGATGTTGTTACCACACTTACTCTAATATTATTTAAGTATATAGGTTTTAAAGTATTGTTGTATGATAATATTGGGAATTGTTTTTAGCATGCCCTTGATTAATATCCCACTTCCGTTGACGTCACCGCAGCAAGAATGGGTGTCATCGATAAACGAAACCAGCGCTCTGGAGCCCTACTGCTACGTTCAACAGGTCGTGTTGAAAGTGGCCGTTTTGCCTTGGCAGCTAGATTTAAATTTAGGTGACGCATTTAGGGCCCCCCTGTATGAGGCCTTTAAACTGTTGGATATAGTTCGAAATTACGAAGATAAGCATAGGTAAGAATAAGTCTTAGTCATTATTTACTAGAATTTAACTGTGAGAAGTTTTTAAAATCAATGCTACCTTAAAAAAATCGTCTCAGTGGAGTGCAGTGCCATTTGAAGCTCGGCAGGCAAAAATTAGCATAATTATAAATTGATAATATAATAAATATTGATTAATTAAATAATCAATACATTTTTTTCTCGAAATTGGGGGAGAAATCCTCAGAGTTGGCATCGCTGCGTTACAGCGGCTGATAACCGACGAAATTATATCACGCGATACTTTAATATTCTGTCTCTTTCTTACACACTGCGACATCTCCGTCAAATCTGCAATCTACGTCGATGATTCGCAAAGGCGCAATCTTTTATATCCCATTAGAGACAATATAAAGTAAATAATTTCGCTTTCGCATAAATCATATACAGCGATTTAACGAAAAAATTATATATAATAGAGCAGTAGTCGAAAATTATGGAAAATATCTTGCATAACCTCTAGAATAAAAAATAGGATAAAAAAAGCTTATTGGGAACATTGCTTAGATGTCATGAGTTAAAGTTGATGATTGTGTGACTTGTATAAACCAATCAGAGCATTTAATTTATCTGTTTAACATTAAGAAAAAATTGGTTTGTGAAGCTAAATGCAAAATTTATTCTGGGTTCTTATTAGTTCATTTTTATTATATATTCTTTATAACATTTTAGTGCGAGAACTTTAGGACATGTATGTCTTCACATCGAGGCAGTAACCAAAAATCGAGCATACTCGCCAGTAATGCCTCAATACAGTTGCTTAGTATTATCACCAGCCAATTTCTGGCATCAGGACATTCAGCAGTTCAGTTCAGATAGTTCGATTTTAACAACTATATTTAACCATCATGTAAGAACTATAGTTCATACCAATTAAACTTTTACTCACGTGATTAAGCTCGACCGGCACAGCGTTGCCCACTTTTACATATTTTCTTTTAATCAAAATATTTTAGGGAACAAAAATAAATATAAATATATGTATAAGCAGTATAAACAGTTATTTACATATGATTACTACTATTATTCCGTTCAAAATATTCTAATAAGGTTGCGATAAGTTTTTGCAGCGCCTATTAAGCTATCTTGTACACTTCGCTCTAAAAGAGGTTCTAAAAAGAACAATGTTCGACTGCAAGGTCTGCTAGTAAAAATGTTTAAGCTTAAAGTGTCACAACACAATTTATTTAAACCAAAAATCCGTAATATAAAACTAAAGTTTCAAAACGAATGGCAATTTCAGGAAATAAATAAATAAATATGGCAATTTCACATTTTTTACAGCAGAGCTACCACCTTAATCCCCAGCGGGAAATTTAAATTCCAGTTAGTCAGCCTGGCGCCGAATATTGCCCATGTTTGGCAACAATGAATTTAAAAATCGCGCCCTCGATTACGTAACTAAAAGTTTAATTGGTATCGCTTATATATTGTTAATATTACTTTATTCTTACTATATCTAATGGATTTTAGAAATTCCACAAGGGTAAAATATCAGTGGCTGAAATGTTGTTTGGCATGACTTTGAGGGATACAGGAATTAAAAGATATCCTTTTAGGAATAGACAGAGGATTATACAGTTTGCTGTTAGTATGTTTTTTAAGGAATATGACAGAGGGTACTGTAAAATAACGTTGAACTAATAAATTGTTAGAATTAGTCTTTGTTTTTAGATTTATTGATGGTCTACATGATAAACTGAAAGCTGCGTACCCTCTACATCAAAATACTAACGCATCTCTTGGTGCGTTATTAAATGATACACTTATAATTAACTATCCAGGGGAAATTAACTATATCGAACTGATTCCTATATTTACAGCGTTTATTTTGTTATATCTTTACTATTATTTTTGTGTGTGGAAAGTTGAAGAGATCAAATCGAAGGCAGGAATGTCCATCATTGCCACCATCACCGTTCTTTGTAGTTTACTTATGTCTATGGGCATATGTTTTCTGTTTGGCCTGACTGTCAATAACCAAAGAAGAAAATGGGTCTTTCCTTATCTGGCTATTTTATTTGGCCTGGAGAACGTTCTTGTACTCACTAAGAGTGTGCTATCAACTCCGTCACACTTAGACGCTAAAATTCGAATAGCTCAAGGCTTGAGCAAGGAAGGATGGTCAACCACCAAAAACTTATTAGTCGAAATAACAATTTTCACTTTCGGTTTGATCACGTTCGTTCCAGTAATTCAGGAATTCTGCATATTCGCCTTGGTCAGTTTGACTACCGGATTATTTCTACAAATATTCTTTTTCGTAACCGTCCTAGGTATCGATCTCAATAGAGCTAGTAACTCGATAGAAAAAACTAATCAGAACTTTAGAAACGCTCTGTATCAGCCTCTGGTTACTTCGGATCTGTCTCATACGAACAAGGGTATGAGCAGGTCAAGATCTCATCCAAGATTGAACTTTCCTACTAACGTCATAGCTGGGCAAAAGCATGGAAATTCACAGGAAAAGAAAATTTCCAGGAGAGTAAGGTTTATTCATATATGGACCAGGACTAGGTTCTTCCAGAAATCTTTTATGGTCCTGATGGTTATTTGGATCTGTATGATCATCTATAACAGCGACATAATCAATACTTATTTCTTAAACGCTATCGAGGAAAGACAGAACCAGTCGAATTTTTCATTGAACAAAAACTATTTATCTTTAAATTTCTTTCCTTTTCCGCAATACAATGCGACGAAAAAGCTGAATTACGTCACCTACAGTCCTCTAGATATCGACAATCCAAACGGCTACAATCAGTCTCACGACATGGAGAAATTAAAACATACCGACTACCCTCTTTACCTGAAGATTTCACCTGATCATTGGGCTTCTATATTAAAGAAATACAATATCTCCTTGAGTGGGAAAACTGTGGCGGTGTTGCCAAGTATAAGGCTGTCTCATTTAATCAGTCCAGAACAGGCAGTCTTGTTGAGGAATCCGGATGAGAAATATGGCGATTTTCAATGGCAAGCTTTGGCTGTGGCTTTGGATCCCATTGACTTTAATGGAGGTAATTTTTATCGTTCATTAAATTACAGTAATTTTATATTTATTTTGGATATTTTTAGATGATTTTCCGTCGATAAATCAAATAGAACAACCGTTTTATCCGAGATCTCCCATGGAAATAATGCTGATCACCATCCTGATTGTGATTAGTGTTATTGTGTTGGCCTACGCTTTTGTGGTGCTGTATAAGTGCATATGCTCAAGGAATTACGCAGAATGGCGTTCATCATGGTATCCGGATAGGCATGATGAGGCTGTAGAGGATCAGGTTCTTTTGGAGGCGGTACCTGTCGTTTTAGAAGGACATACTCAAGAGGTAAGACTGATATGTGCCTAATACAATATGTACCTAGTTTAATTTGCTAATCTTAATGACCTGTTATTTTACAAGTGTTATTAATAAATTACAGTTCTCACTTAAAAAATAACATGTGTGGAAATACAGGTGCGTTGACAATGATGTTTTCTTTTATATTTGACTGTTTATCAAGAAATATCAGGAACCTGTTATTTTAAACTGTTATTTTTAAATAACAGTAGCAGTTTTAACTGTTGTTTAGGAATAACAGTTTTTGTATATAGAATCTTTTTTCGATTTTTCAGAAATATTATTTAGATATGTCTTATATTTGACTGTTTATCAAGAAATATCAGGAACCTGTTATTTTAAACTGTTATTTTTAAATAACAGTAACAGTTTTTTAACTGTTGATTAGGAATAACAGTTTTTGTAGAATCTTTTTTCGATTTTTCAGAAACATTATTTAGATACGAACTAAAATTCTAGCTTTACTGAAATTCTGAATTGTGAATTTCAGCCATATTATGGCCTACCGATTTACCGAATGTCTAAATCGACTGTTATTCTCAAGATATCCGACCACATGTGGTCAGTTAATTTTACTCAACAGTATTAGAAGATTACCCATCCAAACTCGCGTATTCTGCAACGATGAGTGGGAATTGGTATGTCACCCAAGCTGTGTCGTTGTCTTTGTTGTTTAACTATTTCTATCACTAAAAATATTTAAATCCGTTTACATGCATTTGTTTTAAGTTAAAAAAAATCTAGACGGTAAAATGCCTTTCTCATTGTTTATGTTTTATATTTTTAAAAATAATATTCGAAAACAGTAAAAAAAGTAATAGAAAATGTAAATTTATTTAAATATATTGGTACCTATTAAAATATTTTTAGAAAAATATTTTTTTTTATAAATATTACTTTATCGCATCAGTAAGTTTCTGAATGTTGAATGACTTTAGCAGATGATATCGACGATATTTTGCAATAGAAAAAAGGAATCAGCAATCATTAATTCAATTTTAAATTCTAATATAATTTTCTAAAATACTTAAAAATAATTCAGACCACTTATTTTTACTGTTTGTAGTGAAACTCGAGCTTCAAACTTTAACATCTGGTATCTGATTTCTTAAAGGCATTTTATTTCATCAAATATTTGCTTACTATCTATATTTAGTAATAAAACTATAAGGTCGTTCATAAATCAATCTTGTTTTTAAAAAATATACTAATTTGTTTGCACAGGTATCGATTCTGTAGTGTTTTACTTCAAACAATTACATTTTTTGCATTGAAGGTTTTTTTAAATTCTAAAATACATTGCTAATAATAAATGAAGACGCTTGATAGACTATAATATATCATATATAATTAGTATTACTAGACAATCTGGAAAATATTTTAAATGGTAAGTTAAATACCAAAAGCCCTGCCATTAATACGTATTGTTTAGGTTCTCCTTTAGGTTATTGGTTTTCACCTTCATTAATTAAAAACAAATGTCGTACGATCGAAAAAAAACGGCGTCGTCAAAGACTACTGGAGAATGGCAATCGATGATAATTTTGACGAGGCCAATCTCTAGACGTACAATTACGTACTTTACTTATTAAGTAACGTACAAGTACAAAATTCCTTAATACCCGACACTGGTACGGTCAATACCTGAGAATATCTTTATTACCTATTGGTATACGTTGGTTATTGTTCTCGTTGGTCCCATTTTTTGCCATGTCACACTTCACACTGTACACAACAAAATGCATTTATAATGAGGGTCTTGTGCTATCAAGCATTAAGAAATAGAGACTATAATAGAAAATAGTAGTTCAAAATTCATTTGGGATTGAGTCCACTATATTCAAAAAAGTATTTTGCCTAATTCCTTTATTATAAAGATCCTTATGTTAAACCATCTATTTCAGATTGAATGTATAGCAACTGATGGGGTACATTTAGCCAGCGTGTGTTTAGGCGGTCAACTGAAAATCTGGGACAACAGTACGGGAGAACTAGTTAACGTCATAGACCGCAAATCCTATTTCATAGACGAAAGCGACAAATTCGTCAATGAATACGACGATCCGTCCGATTACGAATCAGCCTCCCCTCCATCAACTGATGACGTTTTCCCCAAACTCACCAACAGAATAAACACCGACTTCTCCAGCTTCAAACCTAGAACGTCAGATGACGCGTTCGACGCGCGTTTCGAGTTCTACAGGGTGTTTAAGTTTCATTATAGTAATTCCAAGTCCAACGAGGGAGCTGCTGGACAGGCCAGCTCTAGTAGGCAGAGGCAGATCAGCCGGCAGGATAGCAACAAGTCGAATAATTCTAGTAGGAAAACCAGCGACTGTGGCAGTGCGAATAGCAAGCTTTCATCGGTGTGGTGCATGGATTATGTGGATAATTTAATTATTATTGGTTGTGCGGATGGTAGGCTTGAGTTGTGGGAGGCTACCAGTACTAAAGTTAAGGTAAAGGTTTCTCTATAATAACTAATAGTGTGAATCAAAACTATGTATGTAGTTTATATTAAGTATATTAAGGTATAAAAATGTTGACATTTAATTTCAGTGTATATTTGAAGATGGTAACCAATCAGGAGTTACCAACGTGAAGATAGTGGGTTCGAGAATTATCGCAGCTAGATTGTGCGGTTCTTTAGATCTCCTTCAATTGCAAACATTCAACCAGGGCAGGCCTGTCGATTGGAATTTTACCTGTGCTTACAGAAGGACGCATATCCGCACAGGATCGATGGGATCGATTTCAGAAAGAGATATAAAGAATCAGGTAAAATAATTTAGATTTTAACAAAAGTGTACAATTTTTTAATTTTTTTTTTGAAAAATGTAAAATCAATTATATTTTTTATATGTTCCTGTACATTTATGAATCTTCGTAAACAGACTAAAATAAAATTCTGACCTATTTTCTCCTTTCACTTTTTTCAGCATTTTGCTACCTATAAGAAAGTCAATAAAATGCACGTCATAAAAATATAGACAAATGCACGTTTAATGTTGCCACGGTTACTTTTAAATTATATAATAATTAATAAATTATTCTGAAAATTAATTAAAAAAATATAATTTTTGAATTAATTTAACTAATAATAATTTAATTCTTAATAATCGGTAATTCTTAAAAAAGTAAAAATAAAAAAAAGACACTATATTTTTAATTTTGTCACGTGACTATCACCATAAAGCCTTTTTTATTGATTTCTCTATAATTTGTGGTCACAAAAATAATATTACGTCATGTGATGTGACATCTGTCGCATAATTGTGACAGTTGTCGAATGTCACAATGATTTTTTTTGTTATTCCTTTTGGAATAACTAACTTTTTTCTAGAGAACTATTTTCGGCGGATAAAAGTAGAATCGTTCTAGTTTGACTTTTCATTTTAGGGGGCGCTAGTTTTGTACAAATTGGCAAGAAATAAAGTAGTTACTGATCTGTATTTTTTATTATCTATGACTCATTGATATAGGAACTAAATTTAGATTGGAATGCTCGGCTTCCCGGTAAAACGTATAATTGTTTTGAGTCCCATACGTTGTACGGCGCTGCTATAGCGGTTGCTAAAAAAACCGCAAACGGTCAGAAGCTTCAAAAATTATATAATCTTTCAAAATTTAAACCGCCTTCATTGAAAAAATACCGAAAAGTGAAGGTTTCTATATACAGGTTATTAATTTGTTTATTACTCGCGACAAGAGCTTTATGGTTGAAATATGGCAACCTCGGCCCGCTCGTCGAAAGACGATGCGACGGGACGAGTCGGCAGCTTAGCTTAGTACTCATTTGGAATGTAGGCAGTGTTGCCATTCTGTTCCCCAATAAGTAACAATCCAGTTAACAATCTGTATATTGAAATTAATAATAATTATAAAATTGAAAAAATACCGAAAAGTGTTTAAACCGTCTATTTTCAAAGTAATTATTGCTATCTTGCGAGTTTAATTTAAATTTTATTTACTCAAACCCGTGATAATTGTGAAAAAGTGGCATTAAAAACTTAAAAAGCTGTGTGAACTGTGAACTGCAAAAACCATCGTGGATGTCCGTATATAAAATAAAGTTTCTTATATGCAAGACACTGTATTTTATTTAAAAAATATAAAAGAAAATAATAATAAATATGATTAAATAATATTTGGCGACGTAATTCCAGAAAAAGCCGAACCGCTCCGAAATTATCAAAAGCTTTGGGTCGCGACCGTTGCAAGAATAGCGCCAAATAGTATTTACATTGCCCTTATGGACACTTTCCAATCTAAACTTGTTTCATTTATCTCTGCTATGACTCTCTGTTTCAATGGCGATATTACCTAATTCTATTCGATATTTATTTCAGAACGATTCCGAGGAAGACTTGAAGTGCTTCAAGCTACTGAGCGTAAAGGCACATCAACAGCCTATAACGTGCCTCGATTGCGAAGGAGGGAGAATAGTGACTGGCAGCCAGGATCACACCCTGAAAGTGTACAGGGTGGACAATGGCGACCCCGTGTACACGTTGCACGGTCACTGCGGCCCTATCACCTGTCTGTTTATCGATAGGGTGTGTCCGGCAACGGCCGGAAGCGGATCGCAAGACGGCATGTTATGCGTTTGGGACCTACTTTCAGGTACGTAGAAAATAATTTTATTTCTTGCTGAATTAATATAAGCTTATGTTAACGGGAATTAAGATGCCGTAATTCCCTCTACCTTTTATAATACCAGCAGTTATTTTAAAATATTTCTTCAAATATAGCAACGAAAAATAATATCGCTGTTACAATATTTCAGTTTTTATTTACCGTATATATTCGGAAGTATTTGTATTTTTTACATTTTAAATTGTCAAAGTTTACTATAATTTTAACCTCTTTCTTAACATTTCCGAGATCCCAATGTGACCTTCGAATTTGGGACATCCTGTATATTTATCTCTTTTATAATGCCCCATCTACACTTAAAGTTTTACCTGTCAGTCTTATCTGTTCAGTCCATGTTCAGTCAAAACGTTTTAAGTAGATTATACTGCGACCTTCCTGTGATCTAAGCTGTGAGAGGATTTATGTTCGTGTACTGAAGGAGAGAACATCAAATTGGTATGGTTTGAGAACATAAGTTCTTCTTTGTTTAGGAGATAGAAGTAATACGCTCAACAAAACTGTCATTCTACCTGCACTGAAAAAATATAAGTAATATAATAGCTCTAAAAGCCTAAAAGGCTCATGGCTTAATTGGTTATCTTTCTCCATTTGTTTCTGTCTTTCGCCTTTATTCTCCGCCCATCCACTCTTATCCTTTCTATCTGTTGCTCGGTCTACCCCTCCTTCTCTTTTTGCAGGTAAAACTTCCAATGTATACATTAGTTTTTAATCCATCTTACCTGACAGGTAATACGATATGCGCAGAGGGGGCTTAAATCGTTATTTACTTTCCGTTTTAGGTATTAAACTTCTTATTTGCAGGGACGTGTATGTACAGCATCCAAGCGCACGACGGCTGCATCATTTCCATAACTTATTCGGCGAGCTACGTAATCTCACTAGGAATAGACGAGAGGCTGTGCGTTTGGGAACGGTTCCAGGGCCACATCCTCAACACCATATTGGTGGGCCAGGTCTTCTCCAATCACGTGCTAATGCTGGCCCCACACTTGGCGGCCACCGGCAGAAACGGTGGCTTGATCATATGGGACGTGCGCAACGGTGAATGCGTCAGAAACATTACGTTGGGTAGGGATCCTTTGTGTTTTATTAATCAACTGATTCTGTTAAGGGACGCGGTTTTGTGCGACTATGGAAAGCAGCTGAGAATCGTGCGGTTTCCATTGATTACTCATAAGTTTGATTAGGATTGTGACAAATGACTTACGGAGAAACTTTATTCTTTAGGAGTTATTTATTTTATTCATTAAATAAGAATACCAAGGAAGGAGCGTAATTGAGATCCACAGATCTTTGTTCTGTGGAACAGTCCAGGGTATCCTCAGCATGGAAAAATGACAACTGTCACTGTCATGTATTTACTCATTCGACAGTGTATATATTTACTATAGTGTGCCCCTTGAGTTTGTCCTACCGGGCATTTCCTGACAGGTCATTTTTTGGATGTCGTCTGTCGAAATATTCCCTACTGATAAAAGAAAGTGTTGTCAATGCATGAATATGAAAATTGTGTTAAACACCTACCTTAGTCTTTTTATTCAATGATTTTGTTATCGCACCTGTACCAAATACTTAAAAGAAACTAATGTGTTTTTCTTTGTTACTTTTTATTAATTATTAATATTTATACATCTGTAAATAGTGGTAGCTGCGAGCGCGTTGAAAATTGTAAATTAGTGCTGTAAAAACATTATTTCTAACGTATTAAATTGTTTGGTAAAGTTCTTAAAGTGAACAAAATAATTGTGCCTTTTACATGTCTAGAAGACGTTAAATAATTGTTTTTATCTTTTAATCACTGTTTTTTAATTTAAGATTAATTTATTTTCAAAAATATTTTGTAATAATAACGCTTATTTTTATTATGTATGTTAATTAGTTTAGTATTTTGTAGAACATATTAAATAAAACTATTTTAATTAAAAAATATATATTGATTTTTTCTCAAACTAGTAATTCCATTAATTCCTGCCAGAGAATATTCCTGCAGAAATAATTAAAATTCCTGTAACAAAGTAGAATCACCGACACGCCTATGGCATTACTTTTTTTGCTTTAAAAAAATACCATAACAAATACCCCCAGAAAAAATAGTCTAAATCCAGTCAAAAACATATTTTTTTCACTTTTGGTTTGGTCAGGGATGAGTGTGTAATAAAAGAATTTTTTACACAATGTAATATTCACACGTAACAATAAATCCGAATCATATATAAATAAATATTGTATATGATTAAAGAATTTATTTATTATTTATTCCAAACTGTTTGTCGTGTAGGTGACTATTGGACAACATTATGAAAAGAAGAGAAATTAAATTTTCTAACCATCGGCCGTATAGCCCTGGCAGCTTAGGTCGTAAACCAAAAAAAGAATTTTCTGACTTAACCCTATAATTATTTTTAGTTTAAAATGTTGAATAAATAAAAGTAATTTTACTCGATTATTGAATAGAACTCTAAACAGATCTATTAAGAGATATAAGAGTTCTAAACCAGGCATAATTTTGGGTATAGAAACTTCCTGCGACGATACTGGTTGCGGTATTGTCGATACCGAAGGGAAAATACTTGGAGAAGCTTTACATTCTCAACATTTAACTCATTTACGGTAAATCTGATGTAGAGGTGTTATTACTGAGAATAATTACAAACTATTTATATAGAAATGGTGGTATTATACCTCCTTTGGCTGAATCTTTACATAGACATTGCATAGAAAAAGTAGTTCAGGATGCTCTAGACGCAGCTAATTTATCAATAACCTTCCAAATAGATGTTATAAAGGAAAGCAACTGTTAGGACCTGCACATCACCTTTATTAATATCGATTAATAAGTAAAGCTTTTATCTTTACAGGATTGCCCCTATCTTTACTTATTGGGACAAAATATGGAAAATATCTCTGTAAAAAAGTATAGTAAACCGTTTATTCCAATACATCATATGGAAGCCCATGCTTTAACAGCAAGAATGTTTGATAGGAGTATAGAATTTCCATTTTTAGTTTTACCACTGGTGTCATTGTCTTTATCAGTAGCTGAAAATGTGGATAGTTTTCTGTTATTAGGGGAGAGTATAGACGATGCTCCAGGAGAAGCTTTTGACAAAAGTAAATTAAAATAATAAACCAATATAGGTATATAATGATGATTTTTAGATATCAAGAAGGTTGAAACTTACTAACCTACCTGAATACTCAACCCTTTCTGGGGGACAAGCAATAGAGTTAGCAGCATCTCAAGCAACTAATCCTTTACAATTTAGATTTAACATTCCGATGATAAAATATAAAGATTGCAATTTTAGTTTTTCTGGTGCCTACGTTCTCTAAATATATATAAATAAAAAAAAAAAAAAAAAAAAAAAAGTGTTAAAATATAAAGTTTTTAATCTAAATCAATTTTATATTTACAGATGAATTGATTACAAAAAATTATGTGCATCGTTTTTGGTTACTACCAGACATTTATGTCACAGAGTACAAAGAGGGATAGAATACGTAGCTAAAAAGAATCTTATTCCTCCTGATAAACAAACTCTGGTAATTTATATATTTCTACAATATAATTTAAGAAAATAATACATTCTATATATTTTTAAGGTTGTCTCAGGTGGTGTAGCATGTAATAATTTTATAGCTGAAGCACTGAAAATTGTATGCGATAATTTGAATTATAAATTAGTTAGGCCACCCCCAAAATTATGTACAGACAATGGTATTATGATTGCTTGGAATGGAGTAGAAAGGTAAATCTTTTATAAAGTATGTTTGCATTGCCACCACATTTTAAATTAGGTGGAAGGCTACATAGTATTTACCGAATTTGACAACATTAAATAGAAAAATCTTCTCCTTTGGGAAAAAGATTAATAGAAGATGTTGTTAATGAAAATATGTTGTAACTGGGTGATTCTAAATTATATAACCTAAAAATTAAATATTTAAAAAAAAAAAAAAAAATGTTTTAATAAAAAATTAAATAGATTTATTATTATAAATAAAATAGAATATATAAAAAAACTTTTATTTTTCAAATTAACTTAGGCCCTCTTTCCTTAAGTGATTTGGTAACTTCTCCATATAAATCATAACTTTCGTTATTTTCTAACTGTTCATTTTCACTTACTACATCTAACAAAGTCCTTAACTTATTCTTAACAAGCTCAATATCACTTCGATCTTCTTTAGCTGATATTGGGATTATGTGTGAGAATGTTAATAACCTAGAGGGTCCATATTTTCTCTGTATTATGAAATCTAAAAATATGGGACTTTAAGTATATAATTAATAATGAAAAAATAGATACTGACTATTTAATTCTTTTAATTGCCCTTTAATGTTGTTAAACAAATGTTCTGCACCCTCAGAATCCATCTTATTAATTAATAACATAGAAGGTTTATCTAGGAGTTCCTCATTATACAATTCCAATTCCTAAAGATATTAATAACTGACAATAGTCTGTATAAAATTTAATTCCAACATACCTTTGTTAAGAGCATTATGGTTTCTAAACAACTTCTATGTGGATACTGATGATTTAACTGAAAACCATTTATATCAACAATCATAAGCAGTAATTTTGTCCTTTCTACGTGTTTTAAAAACTCATGTCCCATGCCTCTGTTTCTATAAGCTCCCTCAATTAAACCAGGCAAATCTGCTATCGATATTTGCCTAAGATCATTATAATTTATGACACCAAGATTTGGTTTTATTGTAGTAACTGATAAAAAATATTAAGAATTAAAATCAAAAAATAAATATGTAAGTATAAGCATACATGGATAACTTGCAATTTTAGGTTTGGCATCTGAAATAGCTTTTAATAGTGTACTCTTTCCAGCATTAGGAAATCCCACTAAACCAACATCAGCAATTAATTTAAGATCCAGTCTAATGTGATACACCTGACCTGGGTCTCTAAGAAACCATTTTTGTATGTCTCCTGTTCCACCTTTGGCAATAACTAACTTTTCACCTTCTTGATTTAATTCACCTACAAATAACAATTATTCTAAAACATCAAATATTTTAAAAAAAAAAAAAATAATTTAATTTTTTCCTAAAAGTTCTAGATATAGTGAACACCTATTAGAAAATATCAAATGTTACGTCTTCTCCTGGTGGTCCAAGGATAAAGTTATGTGAAGTATTCTTGGTTTTGTCAAGAAATCTTTTGAGACATTCGATTTGAAAACTGTATCTAAAGTGATACCCTCTTTGGCTTCTACAATAACGTCGCCACCTTTTCCGCCGGCCCCTCCAAATCTAAATACCCTAAAATACAATAAAATATAAACAATTTTCTAAAAAAATACTACTTGGGAAGCCCATTTCCACCGGCACCTCCGGACACGAAAATGCGTAGAGAATCTCTAAAGCCTTCTTTCAAATATCTTCTTGTACGTTTCTTTATTTTTTCGAGTATTATACGAGTTAAATATACCATTTTTGAATCGAATGTGTTGATTTTATTCACATTATAAAAAATTGAGGTTACAGAAGCAGAAAATATTTACTTATACCACAGATTACGCAAATAACTCCTATATTTCTAATTCAGTATTGATTATAAATATAGCTATAAACACATAAACCGTACTTCATGATCAAGCTACTAGTCAACAGATGGCGCCAAAGTCCCGAGTATTTTTATATTTTGAATTGTCGCTCACGTTTATAATGGATTTTTTAAAATATTTCATTTAAGGACTTCTTGTAAGCTAGCTGACTCAAAATTTTATGTTATAAAGATTGAAAATTGAGGCCGGTTTATCTTTTACCAATTTTATCAGTAATCTCGGCATTACTCATGAAAACTGAAACAGGTTATGGATTATCCTAAAAGGCGGAACTTTCATTAACGTATCCGCCCAGAGATTAATACAGAGGTGGGTTTATCTCTACGTATTGGCGTATTCGGTGTACTCACTAACGTGTGGCTATTTTAGCTGCAACGAATTAATTACTGCACAGTAACATCACTGAGAAATACGGGTAGGAATAAAAGACGGTCAATACGAATTATCAACTTGTACCTCTAGACTAGTAATAGATTCTTAAAATTATTGAAAGATCTAAATTTTATATTTAGATATATGTTCATTTTATATATTGCAAATTGTTGTTGCTAAAAATGGAGAAAATATACCTACACCATTTAAAATCATCTTATATAAACCTACCTTATATGTAATAAACTATTTTTTGGGCTTAAAAAAGCAAGTAGCTTTGACAGTTTTCGATATTTGCACCTTTTTGCAAAAAAAACTCAACAGATACTGTAATTTACAAGTGTGTTTTTATTGCGATATTGTCAAGAGTAATAAACCATGACTAATCGTGACTTTTGGAATTTTATTGATTATGGAATAAATCTTTTGTCAATTTTGCTAAATTTCAGTGCTATATACCTGTGCTACTTACTTATTTCAAGTATTTAATAGACGTATCAATAATAAACAAAACTAAAAAAAAAAAAAAAAAAAAAAAAAAAAAAATCGAAAATTTACAATGAAAAACGTTCTATGTTTACGTTAATAATCACGTATGCCTTGATGCCCTAATCCAGTAGCGTCCCATATCGTAACATTGTAAATCAATATATTTACATTTTAAACAGCCAATATCATTGGCTGTTCTTAAAAGTGTTTGTTAAAAAAACTGGAAAAAAAAAAAAAAAATAAAACCTAAAATAAAAAATATAATATTGTCAAAGTCATTCTATAGTATTAAATAGGAGAATATAAATTATTTTTGACAGATGGATACCGCATCTAAAAATTACAGAAAAAAACAATAAAAAAAACTTTTTAAATTAAACAACAAACAGCTACTGTGTTAGGTACTGAAATATTTTTTATCGAAATAATTTCTTCATGCTCAAAGAGAAAAAATATATTTTTGTTTGTAAACCTCTAATTAGGCAATACGTAACTGAACGAAGTACAATGAG